GTATGTTCAAGATAAAAATTTGATTTTTTTTATAAATTTATAATTTACATTTTTCTATCGCAAAATTAATATAACAAATCCTTTTATTTCACATTTTTCTTTGAAAAAACAAAATTTACCTGTTAATTTGACAAGAGTGACAGGTAAATTTTGAAAATTTCTACAAAAATTATTTTGTAAATGTTTTCATCTTTAAACTTAGTCATGCGTTTTATATGAAGCTTTTAATAATAAATTTATTTCTATTCAATATTTAACGGAGAAAAATAAGCAAACCTTAAAATTTAACACTTTTTATATTTTAAAAGCAGCTTAATTCAGTAGAAGCTTACCTAAAGTGAAATATACTTATAATAATTTTAAATTATCGGTTGATTCAAATGATGTTTTTAAAATAATAATTAAAACATAAATGTTTTAGGGTTATTTTAAATATAGTTTATATGCTGACATTTTAATAAAATATTCAAAAGTAAAATAAAATTTAAAAAATAATCTTGATTAATAAAATATAGATTTACAAGTTGAGTTCTATCCATTATATATAGCTGTGTATAAATTTATTTTGTCAAGAGGTTATATAAGATATTTTATTAATATTTAAGTATTTGATAAATTTTAAATTTATTACAATAAATTATCAGCCTTCTATAAATAATATTAATCGATTAATTTACGTTAATATATTTTAACTTTTAATCCTGTAGACAAAGTCTATAATAACGCAAGTCTTGCCAAAACGCAGTTTATTTCTCATCTTGAACTTCTCCAACACTCTAGTCACAGAATACATTTCGAAAACATTGTTTTCTTCATCATTTGCATACATTTATAGGTGTTGATTACATAAAAAGAATTGTATACTTTGGCTGTAGGAATGGAAGTTAAAATATATAAATAATAAATATAACACCGTTCTATGCGTTTAAATTTAATTTATATTATTAATTTATGATTATTTTTAAAAAATTCAATTTTAGTACAATTTATAAATGTGTATTCTAATTTTAAAAATTATTTTTATGTGAAAAAATTTCAAGATTATTTTTAATCATTGCAAATTAATTATTAAAATCAAAGTGTTTATATCTTAAAAATATTTTACGTATTTATTATTATTTCATTAAATTGTTAGCTATTTATTTTTTAATATACGAACATCATGGCTACATACGTTAGAATTCAAGTNTCCAATCTGAATTGATCTTGGTAGATTTCCTCATTGTCTTTTATGACCAGGAAGGAGGCTCCTACCTGGCCCTATCATTAGGTATTATTATAATAATAGACAGATGTCATCGTTTCTCGAAATACAATATCTTTTTTATTTGGCTGTCGATAGCCCAACACGTGTTCCGCAGCCATCTTGTATTTTCTCGCGCGCGTGGGATTGTGGGATCCCTCGTATGACTGGACTTAGTTTCAAGAACTCTCTTGAGTCGATGCGTACACACTAGGCGTTTTTAAACGCCTAGTGTGTACGCGCGTTTTAAAGAACCAAGAGTTCTACATAGGCGTACATACTCAAACGCGCGCTTTTGGCCAAGCACGCGTTAAACGCGTTTAAAAACGCCTAGTGTGTACGCAGCCTAAATCTCGTTTCAGTCGAGATTGAAACGGTCGATGGAGGTTATATGCGAACGGCGTACAAGGGGAACATAGCGAACGGGGTATAAGGCTCTAGTAGTGTTACAAAGTATAATACGTTTATTTTAATATATTTTTTAAAAGAAACAAAACCGCAGAGAAATGTTACGTGTGTTTAACAACGGGTTCGGAAAACTTTGAAAATGTTAACAACGGGTTCGGCCGAACCTGTGCGAACCCGCTGAATATCACCACTGGTTATAGATATGTAGATGTTGAATTTTATCACCGCTCCTTTCTCCTCTTATTAAATATTTGTTAAAAATTAATTTTTTTATACAAATAAATATTAATGTAAGTTAAATATTAAAAATACTAACTATAAAAGTATTTGGGTAAATGCCCGGGGCTCCTTTTAGAGTTCAGAGTATGATACCCCTATGAGCACCTCCCCCCCATAAAATGACTTGGTTTTTAATTTTGCCGGAGTTGGAGTTGGAGTTGGAGTTGATTGTTTTTTACTGACTCTGTAGCCCTGGTGGCAAATTTCAATTTTATTTTGCCATATCTGTGACTATATCAAAAAATGGTTGCTCATTCCAATTCTATATTTTAAAATCAGAATATATAGTTACATGCATGATTTGAAGATTTCTTTCTTACTTTTTTAATTTGAAGTATAAATTATACAATCAATCACCAAGCTGTGGATAGTTTATCAAATGCTTGGAAATTGTTATATAAGAGTGGATTGGCATTGGGTTTGAGCATGTGTTTTGCTTTGTTTAAATCATAATTGTAATTTGATACTTATTTTTTCAGATATTATAAAATTAGTTTTAAAATTCACATAAGTATTTAGAATATTCTCTTTCGATGATTTTGACTTGTGTTTTGAAATCGTATGCTTCATTAAATTTAATCAGGTCGTTTCATAATTTATTAAAAATATTAAATATAAAACAGGCAAATAATACTGCTGTAGTTTTTAAATTTATTTTTCATATTAAAAACATAAAACTGAAAGATCAGTTTACAAATTAATTATATTTAGAAAACGTGCTGTATATCAGAAGACATATTTATTGACGGGGTAAGAACAAAACTAATATGCTGCAAGAATTTAGATTAAACCAATTATAAAAAATATAAAAAATTCAAAGGAAATGGTGTGATCGTATTAAGTGAGAACCAGAACAAAAAAGACAATCGAATGAATCGTGACTTACAGAACGAAAAGTTGGCGCAGCTGTGAAAACCGCAATAAAAAGTAAAAGTCTACACTCGATCTACCTGCGTAACCATTCTCTTGACAGAAAGTGATGATTTATTCACATCTTTTATTTAAGTTTATATAAAGTTAGAGAGAAATAGGCAATTAATGGTTAATTAAATCTATTGAAAAATAAAAATTATCATTTTGCATTAAAACATTAATAAAATATAATTAAATGAAAACAAAACCAATTTCACTATAAGTAGGTTTACTAGACCNTTTTGTTTTTAAATTGCATTCATATCATATATATTATTTGCATGTGTATTTTACCTGCTATAATTTGTAATTTGAAGTTTTTGAATATTCTGTTCTATGTTCTGGGGATTGAACCTGAAACTTGTTAGAGACAGTCAAAAATATTAGGCAATAAATAAAATTTGCTGGCTACTTAAAAGTTTTTTAAGTTACTTTTAACATTTTTAATTAAATTGCCTCAATGTCCTTTTTTCTTATTAATATGTAAATTTTTCGACTATAAATTCGACTTACATCTATTATCAGGACTTATTATACTGGTTTTACAGATAATATTACAAAGATTAACAGAAAACAATTTTTATTTTATACAGGTATACGAAATAAAATAAAAATTGTTTTCTGTTAATCTTTGTAATATTATCTGTAAAACCAGTATAATAAGTCCTGATAATAGATGAAAGTCGAATTTATAGTCGAAAAATTTACATATTAATACTTTTAACATGTTTTAATATATTAATGCATCTAAAAGGCACATTTAATAGAAAACTGGAAAATTATTAGTAAAACAAACTTTTAATAGTTTTTGTTTTTGATACATGAAACTTCCAAGTCAGAACCAACAGTAACTGAGACTAGCAACACTGTTGATGAGTAAGAACATAAGACAACAGGCTGATGAAATGGCTGCACCTTCAGCAGTGCATGAAGCAAGAATGGAGTAGTGTTGACCCAATTTTTGACATAAACCAATCAATACTCATTGGCACATGCAAGTGTATGAATACAGTTCTAAGGTTCCATAAACAGCTACATTTTCTACATCTGGGACCATAGTGAATGTCATGGAGGGTTCAATCTCCAGAAGAAAGGACAGAATGTTTAAAGTATAACATACATTTCAAAGCCCGATGAATATATAGAAACATCCAACAATTACCTAAATGATCGGGCTACAATTGTGCTAATTTTAAATAATTAATACAAAGTAATTTGTTACTAGAGGTAGACGTTAGGTATCAAATTTAAATACATCTGGAAACGAAGGCTTGCTTGGGGTCTGGGTGGCACAACTGGCAAGCACACCACACTTCAAGAGGAGGCTGAGTTCAAGCCCTGCCCCAGGTCAGTTCTTTTCTTCCAGATGGTTCTAAATTATTTAATTAATTATTAAAATTATAATTATTCATTTAGTTAAAAGATGGCGCCTAACGTCTACCTCTAGTAACAAATTACTTAGTATTAATTATTAAAATTATAATTATTCATTTAGTTAAAAGATGGCGCCTAACGTCTACCTCTAGTAACAAATTATTTATACTTTTTATTAATCATTTAAAATTAGCACAACTGTAGCTTGATCATTTAGGCAATTGTTGGATGTGTCTATAGAATATTGAAAAACTTTAAATTACAAATTATTGCAGGTAAAATACACATGCAGATAACATATATGATATGAATGCAGTTAGAAAACAAAATAAATTATTAATTCACGATATCTGAAAATAATCTGACAAGTTAAACCAGTACAATTTAAACAAAACAAAACACATGTCCAAATCAATGTTAAGCTACTCTTATATAACAATTTACAAGCATTTGATAAACTATTCACAGCTTGGTGATTGATGCAATTGTCATCTGTATTTGACTTATATGTTTCCAGAATTTCTAAACTCCTTAAATTATTGGTGTCAATAAAGCCTGCTCTATTGAACAAAGATATCTGAATGTACAGTGCATTGCCAGCATACGGCAATGCTGTGCTTGTTGGTCTTCCTGTAATACCAATTGTTAAGTGTTGTATCCAATGATTTAGCAGTGCTCCTATGTATTCAGTATTAACAATAAATTAGTGATTTTCTATGGAGATACAATATACTTCTGGTAATCTTCCAATATTACTTTTATTTTTTTCATTTTTTCACAGCTTGTGAATATTGGGATTTCTTCTGTAACCAAGGATGATAATCCTTCATTTAGCTGTCTTTTTGTGTAGGTTTCCGAACATTGCTTTATATCCTGTGATGTCAATTGCCTTATGCCAAGGATGATTTTTTCATAGCATGCACTGAATGAAATTACTTTCTTCTCAATAACTGGATCAAATTTAGAATATTTATAAAACAGCAACTGCACACCGGGTTGTGTAAAAATAAATAAGACCTACTTGAACCTTTAACCAATGTGTATAGAAATTAATCTTTCCAATACGAACGTTTTCTTAACCCCTTCTGGGCTCTTCTTCAGGTATAGCTGGATCGAACATCAAACGAAAAAATTTGAATAAATCCGAACACTGCTGAGTTTGAATCACATGGTTGGTTCATTTATTTCATCACGTGATATGTTTGAACACCACCTCACTCTCCACCCACGCCACGGATCCTGAAATTGTGGCGGACTTCAATAGAGCACGTGTAATTGTCACCACACCCCATATTCATCACCTAAAGTGGTTGGAAGAGATGGAAATTTTTAAGGCATACGACACATCCACGTGTATTAATTCAAGAGATGAAATTGGCCTTTCCATGGCATGGCAAAACGCACTACATATGGAGTAACAACAGTATACTATTTATTAAGTGTTAAAAAATAAAATAAAATAAAAGGTACTGGGGAACATGTGAGAACATTATTGGATAATTGTGTATCTCAATGGCACGTTTTTTAAATATCCTAATAATATCTTTCTCTTGAATATGGACATTTATCGTTATCTTCAAACACTTTTAAACATATCACGTGACGAAATAAATGAACGAACTGTGCGATTCAAACTCAGCAGCGTTTGGATTTATTCAAATTTTTTCGTTTGATGTTCGATCGAGCTATATCTGAAGAAGAGCCCAGAAAGGGTTATGAAAACGTTCATATTGGAAAGATTAATTTCTATACACATCGGTTAAAGGTTCAAGTAGGTCTTATTTAAATTTAGAATATAATTGTTGATCTGATACAGAACTTGTTTATTAAGATCAAAAACATTTATCAATTTTTACATTAAAGTTGGTTACTGGATGTTAAAGGTTTTGTTGATTCTGGTGGTTTGTTTAAGATATATTCTTGCCATATGGTGTCAATTAATTTCTCTATTAGCCTTGGGAATGTTGATGTTGTTTTGTGTATCCTTAATATAATTTAGCTCATGTAATGTATCCACTTTATTAATACAATACAAAAATGTCTTATTAAAATGCTTGGAAATCTTCAAATGAGATTTATAGACACCAATGAACAGGCATTTTGTTTTGTTTAAATCATATTGGTTTTACATCTTGGATTATCTTTAGATGTCATGAATTAATAATTTATTTGATTTTTAAATTGCATTAAGATTTTAATGTTATCTGCATGTACTATTCTATTTGCTGTTGAATTTAATGTTTAATATTTTTTCTTGTCGTTGAGATTGAACCTGAAGAAGATTGTTAAAGACAATTAAAAACAGATTGGTTATGTGTTTTTTGTCATTATATTACTATAATTGAATATGTGAGTTCACTTTACAAAAAACAATCAGTGTTCATCCATCTTAGTGTGATTTCTCCTGCTATGTCAATAGTCTGTGATAAATCCTTCATAGAACCAAAACTTAGTGCTCATATATTCAATTACAATCAAAAATATTAGGCATAAATGTATTTTGCTGGATATTTAAAGGTTTTTCTGAATTATTTTAAATTACATCTGTCTAGTCTGTTTTCATTTGATTAGAATCTATAACAGTTACAAAAATAAGAATTGTTTTTTGTTTCTTATATCTTTATTGTATTGATATTATATATATGTAATATATTTAACTTGTTTAAACTTACTACTAAAAGAAATATATAAATTTTATATTTGATATTTTTATTCTCAGTAATGGAGTTGGAAATAGCAGTAATACATTTATTCAGTATCAGCAACAAAGACCGCACGTTCCAGATTTAACAAGTTTGCAGCAAAAGTTGGCACAGTTAACAACATCTGGTAATATTTGTTTGCTACCCAACACTAATGTCTGTTTAGATGGCATATTAGGAGAATGCAGTCAGATTATTTCCTCACAGAATATACAAAATCTGAGCTCAAACATAATTGTAAGTATTTTTATAAGTTGGTATTATCATATAATAATAACATTTTTTGTATCAAACAGTTTGAAGGAGAACAGAACTTTAGAGAATATTTGTAAAGAGAGTAAAAAACAGTTTTTATATGCCTGAACTAAAAATTATTTACAGTGGAACATGGTTTATATGTTTTACTTTTATATATGTTGTTGATAAGACTGTCTTGTTTATAGTCACAGGTACACATCTTAGAGGTATAAGGGAGACGTGTCAGGAGTTGATATTTGGCACAGAGTATTTGGTTCCCAAATCATGAACACACAAATAACACCCGACTTGTAGGTAGTCAGGGAACTGAGAACCTAGTCAAAATAAAATACAAAATGGCAACACTCTTTCCACAAACAGGCATGAGTGTGAGATTTGCGCATGCATATATCATTGGAAAGAAGGAAATGCGAATGTTGCAAAATCGAATTTTGACAAACGAATCTTTGAAGAAACCCATTTACCCCTCTGGTCACGACCTGCTGACCTTGACTGGTTGACCCAAGATATCTCATTTCAGCATTGGAACTCTTTTGAAACTAGATGGTGCTAGTCATTATAATTATATATAAAAGTAACTTCCAAAATACAATTTTTTTTTGTTTTCACATTTATTAATATATTTATTTTGTTTGTGCAAAATAAAAAAATTATTTTGGATGGTACAGTAGCCACGATTATTTTTTTCAAAAACAGGAAATTTTTGTTAGGCATTGACAAAAATTCAACCTGGGGTGACATGCAACAGACAGAAATTTTGACATTGGATAGGTTAATTTCACTGAAAATGCTTCGTGGACGACCTTGTGGTCATGGCCGAAAAAGTTTAAATGATGATGTATGAGACATAGTCTTGTCCCAAAAATCGGCCTTGTCATTTTACTTGTTTTACATTAATTCCAAATGCTTCTATTTCATTCAGTCATGTAATATTCATTTATGGCATAGTAAACACTTGATTTAACAGACCCCAATTTATAGGACTTTGGATTTAACAGAAAAAAAATTTGTTCTTTAGGAAAAATTTAAAATCATGTTCATTCACAAATAGAATATGCTGAAAAGTTGGAACAAGAGTCAATGACTATATAATAATAATATTTTATTTATACATATATATGATAATATTTTAACATATCTTGCACATTTTAAATCTGCTATTAAAATGTGTTTTTGTAACACATTCTATTTAATAGACGTTTGGGAATAGCAGACACTTTTTTCATCCAACCAGTCTGTTAAATCTAGGGTTTACTACATTTTGTTTATGTATAAATTCCTGTCTGATGAGGATAATAAATATCACAATTATATTCTTAACAGAAATCATACTCAAAATAGAATACATTCTTTGTTCTATTCTTGTAATCCTCTTTTCTTATTTTTTTCTTTCTTCTGATTACTTGCATTATGATATGGGATTGTCTACAAATTACATAATGCAGATATGGGTAGAGTATCCAGATATTTGTTGTAATGCATTACAAGAGAATGGGAAGTGTTTACAAAAATGTTCCAGAATGGTAAGGTCTTGACCCTTGGATACCAGAATGATTCATTTTTGTTTATATAGTGTTTTATAGCAAACCATACTGTTTATGCCACTATACTGGGAAATTGGATATGTGTAACTGTTGGCCCATAAAGGCAAGCACACAAGAAAAATAAAAACATCATCATAGATAGCAGAAAGAAAATAAAGTTTAATTATGCATTGAATTTTTTTTACAGCAGGTATATTAACAGATGCCAACTCTAGGATAATCTTCCAGCAGTTACCTAATTTATATATACCACAAAGCATAAAAAAGTGCAATATTAATGATTCATACAATAAACAAATGAAAAACAAATGTTACAAAAATAAAATCTTTACAATTAATTCTGTGAAACCGTTTACCCCCCGAACGGGAACTGGCTGTTGAGCTAAAGTCAATAAATCGGTGACTTATTACGTAAATAGGACCAGTGTGACCAAGGAACGGGGTGTGAGATGATTTAATTGTCGCATTCCAGGCCTAATTGACAGATCTGCAATCGTCAATCGTGAGAACGCAAGAGGGATCGTCAGATGGAGTGGCTTTGGATGATCACCTTACAGAGAGTTCAAAGCAGGACCTGCTGACAATCTTGTAGAGAGGGTGGTGGCTGGGAGAGCTGCGTCTTCTCCAGGACAGAAAAATACACATTAGGTAAAATTTATGGATCTGTCATCTGGGAAAGGGTTTGACCTGACTCCAGAGGGGAACAGCCCGGACAGGAATGTTTTGTGACTCTGAGGCCCAAATTGCATCCCTGGAAACAGACCAAGGGACCAATAGAGTTACAGGGGACCATCATTCGGACCTACCAAAACCTCGGAATTTCAGGAAGAAACAGGTTATAAAAGCCCAAAATCCCGAGGACACAGGGAGGTTGTGAGAAGGAAGATCAGGAACAAGTTAGTCTGTTCTTAAGATTCTAACGAGGATTACAGAGGAGAAGACTCAAAACTTGAATGAGTGCGGCAAGAGTGAGGAACTTAACTTTCCGAGCACACTTCTCTACCTGGACTGGTGCGAACAGAGACCTAACTTCCAGGCATGGATCTCTACTCCTTCAGCCTCCGGAAACACCTTAGATTGGAGATGAATTTTCTCCTGTTTCTGAATCAACTTATCCTTGCAGATGAACTCTTTTGTTTGGGAAAGAAACACTCATCTGGACGGACTTTAACTTTATCTGTAAGCATGTCTTTGTCAAATAAACATGTTGAATTGGTAAATATGGTCTCTGTGTGAGTCATCTTTGTGTCCAGCAAACCACTACCCCCATATGAAAAAGGCTTTCTCGTATCATCCTGACAGATCGCAAGCAAAGCAAGGGTTGTAACCTTTAACTGAAAGGTCAACCCCACAAGGGTGTCGTCCGGGCTACTACCACACCCCACAATTCTTATGACTAAACTTACAACTAATAGAAATTAAGATAGAGGATAAGAAATATTCAAGATGGAGTATACACAAGAACAAAAGTACAGTTGACCCCCCCATAACATGGTAGATACGTTTAGTTTTTTATGAAATTCATGTTCTACGAGTCCTTAAATACATGAGCCAATCACAGCCTGGCACATGTGCAGTTTACGGACTATGGCTGTTTGAAAGGTTTTCTTCCATAAAATTAATCAATTCTAGACTAATTTGACTCAACATTTTTAAAACACGTATAATTTTTTGGGAATAATCCGTATAAACTGCTATAAACAAAAAATTATAGGATTACTTACCGAGTGTGCACCGTTCGACAATGCCATTGCTTAAGCTTGTTTTCGTCGCAGAGCAGCACATTGGATGGCGGATGCATACAAAATGTGTCATGTGACATTTGTCAGTGCTATTCAGTCACGTGACTACTCATCTCTGTTTGACTACCGTGATCTACCGTTGACTACTGTTTGATCACGTGACTACCATGTTTCCTGATAACTTACTCTTTTTGTAAAGAATCTGCTGAACTTTGGAGACATCATTCCATTTTAAATATGGATTAAAATCAACGTAAAATAACGTATGATAATGCAATATATAACTAATAATTCTGCTCTGCTTTTAAATGGCCTAATCTCTTTCATGTCTTAAACAAAATTGAATTATATTCATTTACATCAAGACATTAGACATCTCTTGTTGCATCTAATATTTATCATCATAATATATATATCATGATAGAACTATTGTCATTAACGAGCGGTTTTATCTTTGTTGCTTCATATAGTCAATAATAATAGTAAGTTGTTTCTAATTACAGTAAAAATACTATAGTATATTATGATTTATCATGTGATACCTCCAAAGTTCAGCGAATTATTTGCAAAAAGAATCTAGGGTAAAACTGCCCTGTGATCTGATGCTTTTATTGTAAAAGAAATCTATGCCACATTTGATTTCAGTAATGACATTTTTTCATATCTGGTTTTGCTTGAACCTGAAAATTAGCAAAATTTAACAGCGAGGTTTTTGGAGTCATTGTTTAAAATGTTTAAAAATGTTAAGGTTGATTTACAAATTGTAAACAATGAATGGCATAAACAAGCCCTACTTAACTCGGGGTCAAAAAGTCACGCTGTCAGATCCTATTTGTCAGAAATATTTAATTTAAAAAATTCTGCTGGAGAGTTTGTTTTGAAATCTTGAAAATTGTTGAGCTTATTGATGATATTTCCAGCTTCCAATGCATCTGTCAAGTGAATATTTAGTCAGCTATGTTGTGTAAGACATGGCACAGACATTCTTTGAAAATGAAAGGGTTTGTAACTTAATGCACATGCAGTCCAGTATTAAAAAAAAATATTGTTTTATTTGAACCTTCAAAACAAATTTTAAAGTGCAAATATGTATGTAAATAAATGAATTTTTAAAACTGATCATTTACGTATTAAAGTATGTTCGAAATCGAGCGAATGGCTTATTTAATTTTCTGTCTTTAGCTAAGATACACAACATATGTTGAAAGTGAATTAATTAAAATTAAGTTAAATAATAGCATTCATTAGACTTATGGAAATATTTTATGATTATTTAAAGACCATGGCAAAATTTATCTCGTTTGTCAAATTGTGATTTCCAAACTAAAACATTAAATATCTCCATATCGGATGTAAATGAATACCTCCGATAAAGCCTAAAAGTCTTAAGACATTTTAGTTATTAAGATTTTTTTAAAACAATGAATTAAGAATTGTTCTGATTATTATATTACAATAATAGTATAGGGATCTGCGTCATAGAATTGTTTTTTTTTTCCCAAGCACGAGCTCGATGATGGTCATTTTCTCAATCTAGGATAATCTAGGGTAAAACGAAGGCACTATCAGGGTAGTTCCACCAGAAGCAGGCAGCAGTACTGCTCTAGATGCTTGTGAAGTGATGCTTCCACAGCTTCCGTGGACAGCATGCCACTGTAATGTTCTTACTAAGTATGTTAGTGAACATTCATACGTTTAGCAATTTTATATTACAAATTTTTTTGTTTGTGATGTCCATATCTAGCCAATTTTTTGACTGTCAAAAATCATTTACTGGCCAGCATATTACCTGATTTGTGTACAGCCTGCATACATTTTTTGACAGTTCCAGTCACAGTTACCAGTTATATGTGTCTTTACTCTAACTTGAAAATTATCAGAACTTATCCAAAACACTATGCTTGAAAAAATACTTCAATCTGGATCATATTTCCACACAGCAAGATCATACTAAGTAACTAGATATGTTGGATATTATCATAGAATATTCCAGAGAGCTCAATGATATGATTAGCTTGTCAGAGAAAGAAAATGGCAAAACATAAATGAATGTTCCAGTTACTCTAGTCTCTAGTAAAATAAAAATAATAATAATAGACAGAACTTAATAATTAAACATTAAATAAAATTTTCAGAAAATAATAATAAATAAATAAAAATTGTAAAACTAAATAAAAATGGGCATTCTGATTTTCACCAAATAGTCCACAATGAATTATCTGCATGGTACCAGTTGTAGCAGTGTATGAAAATTTATTTTGAGATTTTTGAGTACTGCATGAGTTGTTTAAAACCATAAAAAGAACTATCAAAGATTTTTACATAATGCAAGAGAGATACAAATTTATTCAGAATTGGTATTTTTTGTTGTATTGTTCTCTAACTTCTGTAACCCAAAGTTTTTTCCTGCCCCTCAGAGCTTTTAGTTAGAGAAGTTTTACTGTATTTCAATTTTTTGACATTTTATCTTCTAATCCATTCAACTACTTGTTCAACACACAGTAGATATCTATCTCTTACATGTTGAACAAGTACCTGACATGTCTAAGAGAATGTTTGAATGAACACTAGTTCAGTTATAACCGTTGCTTGTTAACATCAAAAATTCAGTTCATTTTTGACTTTGTTATATATAATTTTCAACATTGATATACAGTGGTGACAATATTTTACAATCTTGGTTGGCAATGTCTTAATTTCATTCTTATCAGTTTTTATTTTTGGATTTTCTAAGACAATTTCATGGATGTTGAAATCTTTAACAAATTGAACAGAATGCTATCCAAATGTTTTGAATTTGACTGTGGTGTGTCATGTTTTGAGTAGACAAAGAAAACAGACAACACTAAGAGCAAAGATAATCGTATATTAACACTAGGAATACAGCCAGAACGGGGTCGTAGGGGAAACATACATACAATGAGACTAGTTGTCCTTAATACAAGTTCTTACTATTTTTCTTCCCTTTTTCGCTCAGTCCTTTTCCTTTTTCTTATTCCCGCCAAGGTCTTCAAACAGCCAAAGGTATTCCATGATCCATTTACACTCCTTATATACCAATTGCCCCTAGCGCCCCCTCGCGTTACATTCCAAAATTACAAAATAAAAAAAAATAGACAATTATTATAACACACGAGTATTTACATTGACATAACATTACTAATAATACATATAAACAATAATATTTTAGTATAAAAGAAGCACATTTAAGCCTTCATGAAGGGAGGAAGAGAAAAAAAAAACATGGTGGCACCACCACATCTCCCCCCTTAAGATATAACATAAAAGTGGGTGATAAAGTATCACTCCCTGCCTCCCTGAACCATGGCACAGTAGTTGATTCTTCTCCCACGTAGGTTGTATGGGCAAGGTTTTGGGGTTTGTGTGTTACTAAGGGATCGTTCACCTTGAGGCATTCCAGGATCAGTTCGCATGGTTGATCTCGGGTCTTGATCACATTCATCATCAGAATCCCAAGGATTGAAATCATCCACAGGGCTTTGCTTTGACCTCCGATATACGTGCATCTTTCCTGGCTGTACTGGGCCCCAAAAAGGTTTTAATCTATCAACATGGACATTCTGGACGTCACTGTCACGCATTCTGCAAATCTTATAATTCACTTCGTTGATAATTTCAATGATTCGGAATGGACCTTTGTAGCGAGGAGAAAATTTTTTTCTTTTTGGGTCATTAGGTGGTCTCAAGAGCCAGACACGCTGTCTAATACCCAGGCTCCTCAATTTCCGGTTTTTATTCCAATATTGAATAGACTTCCTTCGTTCAATCTGACTTATCTCAAAGGCCGTATCCCTGGCCAATTTTAGTCTTTCTATTAGTTCAGACCGATATTCATTGGCGTATCTCACATTACTTGTATCCTCAATGGCAGTTTCGCCCGGCATGACCGGGTCAAATCCATACATTAAAAAGTTCGGGGATTCATGGGTGGAGGAGTTGACTGTATTACGATATGCAAACATTGCTGGGAAGATGTATTGGTCCCAGTTCTCCTTATCACCTTCAGATATTTTACTGATTATATTGATTATACATTGATTTACTCGCTCCACCGAGCCATTTGATGTTGGCCTATATGAGGTAGTCAGCTTGTGTCTAATATTCAAAACCTTACAGGCGTCCTCCATAATATTAGAAGTGAGATTAGGTACGCGGTCCGAGATCAACTCCTTCGGACACCCAAATCTACAGACGACGTGATTAAACAGCGCATCAGCTATTATTTCAGAAGTTTGCCTCTGAATTGGTATAGCCTCCGCATATTTCGTAAAGAGATCGACGAACAAAAGCCTTCATAAAGGGAGGAAAAAAAAAAAAAAAACATGGTGGCACTACCACAGACAGATCCTTCTTTTTTAGGTATTTACATTTAAATGTGCATTTTACCTGAAACTGGATTTTAAAAAATATATTGCTGGTATATGTATAAAAAATTTGTTATTTTTAGAAAAAATATCTTGTTTTATTTAGATAACAGATAAAAGAAAATTCAATAATATAAAAAAATCTAATGAAAATATCATTTATTTCATAACTTTTGCTATTTTCTGTATTTTATAGAATTCTCCAATCTGTCAAGCAGTGGAACATGTGATAGAACAGGCAGAAAATGTTTCAGAAACCCAAACACCGTCTTCACCAAAGCATCAAATCTCTAGATCTGCTGTTGATTCAATAACAGGAAATTGTGGTTCTTTATTTACAACGCATTCTTTAACTCATTCGCTTTATTATTCAATTCCCTTGAAACTTACAAGTGGTCAACAGGAAGGATCAATTCGTAAATTAACAGTTGCTACAAATTTAGAAGATCTAAAATTAGAACTTCAAAAATTGCATAATAGCAATATATCATCTGTCAGTTTAAAAGCTAATATTGAACAAGGACTTCAAGCTATATTTTCACAAACAGTCCCTGCTCAAACAATTACAACTCCTGCTCATTCACAACCTCAAGTTCTTTCTTACGTTCAGCCTCCGTCAATTCCAATTTCACAAATTTCTGGATATGGAGTACTTTCTGATTATCCTTTAGTGCAGTCTTCAGGTATCTTATTTTCATTTATATTTCATTTATTGAATATTTATTAAATTTAGAGTAAAGATAATAAAATGTATAAATAGATTTTATTTATTATAAATATTGCACTTTTTAAAATACAAACTAAAACTGGATTGGATGATGAAACAGAAAGCTTACTTGCAACCGATGCTGCAAGTTGACCACACTTGTTATTCTTCAATATATATTGCAAGGAACATTTGTACCACAGACTCAGAGATAACATTTGCGACTCCTTGACAGTTAGTCATCATTACTCCTATGAAGTAAACTACATATGATCATTCTTCATTTTTAATAGGGTCAAACTTATTCTATGAAGTGTAATCTAACATATACTAAATACACTTAAATAACTGATTTGTCTCTGCTTCTTATCAGAAACTATAGTTGTTTATAAATAAATTGTAAAAATAGAAAATAATATGATAGATTTGCAAGCTAGTGTACCAGTACATCACAATTGAAAGTTGTAGGTAATTAAAGTCAGTTTTCTGGGTTTGAAACAAACATATTGAAGCAACATTTAGGGTAAAATTACATATTTTCTTTCCAAACATTTTTGACACTACAGAAATGTCATCTTTGGGACAGCTTTTCAAAATGCAATATAAATTACTTTCAAGAGGGTAGATATGAAAATTTGAATACATTCAAATGTTTTATGTTCAAAAATACACACACACAGTTTTTACAGTTTGAAACTTAAAATTATTGATAATTAGGATGAAATGAAAATAATTATAAAGACTTATCAGTGGCAATAGTTCCCTTAATCAGTTGCATCAGATGTAACTTTTAATATTTTTCTTTGACAACTACGTCCACTGGAACCAGATTAGATATAACCAAGAGCATGTCAGAGGGTGCTGTCCTGTACATTATAAAGATAGCGATACTTGATAGTTTCTGAATAGTTTTTTTTATAAATCTTATTCACATAACACAAACCTTGCATTCATGTTATCATTAGCGAGGTTGTAGCTGACGTTTTTAGTGTGAAAACGTGTACGTCGGATGTTCAGCACCACCTTCCTGTAAGCCTAGAAGTTTGACAATGACATTTGGAACATCAAGCATGATTCTACTGACATTCCAAATGCCATTGTCAAACTTCTAGGCTTATACTACGTTCACACACAATCCATGATTCATTTTGATCTTGATTTACCCACAATCTCAATTGTAACTGTTGCCAGTCGAATGTCGAACTGTTCACACAGGCAGTCCACTTGAGACGAACAAGGCTATTATATGTGGTGATAAAACTGACATAACTATGCAGTAAGTCATGAACACCAACAAACAAAATGGAAGTTTGGTTAGAAATAAATACTTTTTCTTGCCATATATCTAATAATAGACAGATGTCATCGTCTCTCTAAATATATTTTTTATTTCTCTGTTAATAGCTTGACACATGTTCCGCAGCCATCTTGTATTTTCTCGCATGCGTGGGATTGTGGAATCTCTCTTATGACTGGATCTAGTTTCAAGAACTCTCTTGAATTGATCACATTTGAACCTCGCTCGTTTCAAGATTGAAATGGTGGAAAGAGGTCACACCATGGCATAGTCAGGACCTTGGTCACAATTTTTTTTTTTTTTTTTAATTATTTGTGGTTTTAGGCCCCTTACTGCTCAGAGATCACAAAGAGGCCAATTGGTCACAATCTAGATTGAAATGCTCAGTGCGAATGGGGTATTACAGGAAGTCAGTGCTGAACATCTGACGTACACTTTTCACGTTGAAAACATCAGTCGCAACCTTACTATTGGCTCAATGATAGCAGAGTAAATGGAATGAATGCCTCGCTCTAGGATTGAGCTCAAACAATTACTTGAGATAAAAAGGGCACAAGTGATCTTCACAGCTTTCAGGTGGTGGTCTGTCCTGATATAGGCTGTGTATACATTAGGCGTTTTCAAATGTGTGCTTTGGTAACGCACATTTTAAAGAACCAAGAGTTCCGCATAGGTATACACACACAAATGCACGTTGATAGATTTTAGTTAGAACATGCATTTTGCGGGCGTCAGCCGCGCGCTTTGAGATACATGTGCTGCCATGTTGTTGTACATTCGATCGTGTGCTTTCGGGTAGAGTGGACACACGTTGGCCGAAATGGAGAACGATCATTTCGATACTGATCTATTTATTGAGGAAATGTAAAAGAGACCAGCCATCGTAAAATGATTTTATAGATATTCTAAAAGAATTAAAAAACAGGTTCATATTGTCTTAGTTTTGGATACAATGTCGCAAACATTCTATGCATCAGTCTATCTCGTAATATTGGGTGCACCCAAAATTCTCTTTGCCTATGCCACATCGAGTTGGATAGCGACGATGTTGGAGGCACACACAAGCAATTACTTTTATGTCCATTTCCAAACTGGACCAGTGCAAATGGTCGTCAAACGCCGAGCTAAACGCGCAGTCTGTACGCTGCTAATGTGCATTTAACGCAACACAAAACACCTAATATGTACACAGCCATATTGTCCCTGTCCTTCACCACCCAGCTTCCTGGTTGTTGGCCTGGCTGAACCCATAATGGGCTTGCTAAAAAAATATCCTCCTAGTGCCGACAGGGCTGAAGGAGTTAGTAAAAAAAGCTTTATCATCAATGCTGATAAACAATCTTTCCATAATAACTTCTGATCTAAGGTGTCACACCTTAGATCAGAAGTTATTACAGGTAGCCCTTGGTTTACGCTGCAGCTCCATTCCTACAAAAGCTGGCGCAAATCGAATTGACGTAAAATGAACCCATATTTACAGTGAGGTATATGGTTAGGTTCTACATAAGTGAAAAATAAGCAAATAATTTTGTTTATTAATACAATATAATACAAAATACATATAAATTTAATTTTTAAAATGTATTTTATCATAAAATAAAGTGAAATATTTTTATTAAAAAATTTTACTTTCGGATCTCTTACATTTTTTGGAAAAAAGTATCCATCTTTAATCGTTTACATTTTTGTTTTCTTTCATCGAGAATTTCGGAATATGGTCAAATGGATGCGATGATGCTCCTTTTTACATTTGCAACTTCACTCCCAATCATTGTCTAACAAAGTTCATTTGTCAAACTTTCCATAGTTGAAAGGATACACTTTAGATCAGCCGTTTTCATAACACTTGGAGTTTCTTCTTCATTTTCTTTCTTTTATGAGTGTTCACAATCTAATTCTCTGTAAAATTCTTCTAAGTCTTCATTCGAGAGTGGCTGATCATAAACTTCTAAAACTTCTGTCACATCTGCCAATCCCACATCATGCGCAAGTCTGGTAATGTCTTCAATTAAATTCTCCTGATGTGCTAGTTCTTCAAAATCGTGCATGAGTGCTGGTAGAAGTTCATGCCAAACTCCATTTAAGCATTTTGATGAAACTTCATCCCAAGATGACTTGATGTTTTTAATGCCTTTCAAAATATTGAAAGACCACCAATAGTCTTTAACTGTTTTGTCTGAAGTGTCTAAAACTCTAATAATTTCCATGAATGAATGTATTACGGAGATAATAAGCTTTGAAGGTTGAAATAACCCCCTGATCCATTGGTTGCAAAAGAGATGTTATATTGGGAAGCATGTAAACAACTTTGACATCTAGTGGTGTTATTATTAATAGAAGGTTTTGATGATGTTCTGGAGCATTGCCCAAGAGAAGAAGTGCCTTGGGTGGTAATTTATTTTCTTCACAAAAGCAAAGCACAGTAGGGCTTTGCTTTTGTGAAGAAATAAATTGTACAGAAATAATTTGTGTACCAATCTGTGAAAACATCTTGTGTGACCCAAGTTTTTTTGTTCCATTTCCAATAAACTGGCAACATATCTTTATTTAGATCCTTTAATTAATTAATTAATTAAAGCACGTGGTGTCTGTGATACACTAACATCGGTTTAAGTTTCAAAGTTCCTGAAACATTGGCTCCCTACAAAAGAGTTAACCTGTCTTTAGCAACTTTAAAACCTGGAGGTGAACGTTCTTCACAAGAAATAAAAGTTTGTGCTGATAACTTTTTCCAATAAAGCCCAGTCTCATCAACGTTGAAGATTAGGTCTGGAGAATAGTCGCCTTGTTCTACATAATCCTGAAATTCCTTAGGAAAAGTTGCCGCTGCCGCTGCCGCAACATCTGCACTTGCAGCTTCACCACATAATTTAACACTATGACAGTTACTTTGGAATTTAAATCTCATAAACCAACCCTTGCTTCCCAAAAAAGCTTCTTCGCCTCCTTAAGATTATCAAAAATTGATTTTGCTTTTTCAGTTATAGCAGCTTGAGTCAAGGGAATGTTCTTTTGATTTGCATCATCCACCCATAACGATAACAATTTTTCCATTTTTTCAAAAATTTTACCCCCACTGTAACTTACTTGTTTTACGTTTACTGTCGTAGACTGTTGTGCAGAGTGTTTAATTTTATCTGCATTTTTCATAATGGTAGTAATACGAGTAGTTGATGGAGGTAAGTTCAAAGATTTACAGACATTAGGGCATGTTTGTCCATTTTCCATTTATTGAATAACTTCCATTTTTGTTTCTAAGGAGATTGATTGCCATACCTTGTTAACATGTTTAGTTAACTCTGGTGCACTTCTTTTATCTGACGTAATAATCCTCCTTTATTCTTGTATATGTGGAGTCAAGTTGAAAATTAATTGATGTCCAATAAATGGCATCCAAACCCAGAGTGCCTATGCTTACTAATGTTCTTATCTTGTAAAAGTCTGTTCAGTAAAACACCTTACAATGAGATGGCACTTCTAGGAATCACGAGTTGTCAATGTCGAGACAAATCCACTCCTCATCGGTCAAACGATGCCTTCTTAAGCCAGACGATATCCACTTTCCTTTGGCTAGATGAAACGACTTCTTCTTAGCAAGACCAAAGCAAACTCAAACTTTCCCATTGAAATTGATCTATATATGTGCTATGACGGGCCGGTGGTCGACCAATCCACATCTCTGCTCTACTGTAGCTCTATGTCGGGTCTGCAGCTCATTCAAATCTAACGTTCTCTATTGGTCTAGATCTGAGCAATCCCAATGAGCCACGATTCTGCCACAACACATGGTGTCGTAGTGGACTTGTGTCTCACTAGGATTGGTCAAATCTGGACAAAATCTAGTCAAATCTAGCATAGGGAAAATTGGGGAATTACACAGCAAAATGGCGTATTATGCAGCGGCATAAATTGAACCAGCATAAACCGAGGGCTACCTGTATAGAAAGATTGCATTGGAAAGACACATATTTTAAATATTTCACAGATTTCATGCACTTTATCCCATTATCTTCAGTAAAAATAGATGAATTTTTTGCGAAGGGGTTACATTCCAGGAAGATCATGCACACTGGAATTTGTTGGAGTTAATTGGCATTATCATGTTAGGGCTCCAGCTGGAAATACTGGCCAGTAGATTATTTAGGCACTCTTGCAGTATCTTTTGGTGGGGATAGGACATGAGGGTGACAGAATCGTCTGCATATTCCCAAATGGAAGCATTGCACACAGCAGGCTGGCCAGTTTGTCTCTGGTTTGTCATAAAAAATATTCTAGAGAAAGGGTCCAACCTTGGAGATCTGAGGATAACTGTTGGACAGACCATCTATAAAACATTTCAAGCTTGCCAAAAACTCTGCCCATTGGTCATTTGGTCACCACATAACATTAAAAGGTAGTCACGTACTGGGATGAAGTCATACCAGTTTCAAATGGACAAATTCATTTGAAGCTTTTGTTTTTTTCATTTAGGCGAACCAGCTTATAAAAACAAATTAATTTTGACTAATTATATATTTTCATATATAAATAACTGTTTGTTATTGTATCATACATTTTCTCATTTTGTTTCAGAACATTTCCAAAATGCTTTGGAAGCGTCATCAATATCGTCCAGTACAGTAATTACTCCGTTATCAGATAATAAGTCGTCGCGGTTTCACGTCATAGCCGTTAAAGACGATCCTCTGAAAGAATCTATGCAATTCGATCATTCCATTTATAGTAGGAGAGATGATTACCAAGATGCAAAGGGACCAAACGAAGACTCCCTGACGTCAGTCATAAAGACAGGAAGATTCCACGTTACCACGCTGAAGGACGAAGTACCCCAAACGTCTCAGCATAATAATAATACTCTTCAATGTGATGCCAATGCCAATTTAATTGAAACATCCAAAATACTTCGAGAAAAATCTAGTCAGATTCCTTCAAATGTGAGTATTGGGTTAATTTGTTTTACAATTAACGAATGCTTTTCTTTAATTTAAACAATTTCTGTTATAGAGTTTCAGTACATTTTTGGCTTTTCGTTATATTATTTTAGTAGAGCCGCTGGCGCAGTCATTAGCGTTTTGTAAAGTATGACCACTTTTACTTCCTGGCAATACTTTTTGATTAAACGTTTCAGCCAGTTGGATGAGCTGCCTTCCGGTTAGCAACCAAATTCAAACCTGAGCGCATTAATAACAATTACAACACACTTTTGGACATTTGCTATCAAAGTGTTCCGATTGGATGATTAACCCCAAGATTTGTTTAATTAACAAGTGTTGCCAGGAAGTGAAAGTGTGGATATGTCAGTCATTAGCATTATTAGTCCAAGTAAACTAATAAAACTCTTTTCATCCCGACTGCACCGAGATGGCCTTTTTAGCTGAAAGGTTACGGATTTGGCCAGGTGGCCAGGGGATGGCCCCCAAAAATTCCTGGGATTTTTTGATTGGTCCAGATGGAATTTTGGGTCTTCCATGGTAGGCACTACTATACTAATTCTATTTTTTGGAAATCAGTGGGGTTAGGACAGAGAGCAACTTTAAAGGCAAAGAATCTGCTAACTTTTCTCACCAGTTAGGCATTGGTATTGGCGTAATTCGGTACACCGATTTTGGAACTTAAACCGGTAATCCAAAAGAAGCAAATTTTTACACTCAATTTGTTCCAATAGGAGGTAAGAACCTGTGCCGAAAATTCAAAGCAAACTTTTTTGGTTTATCATCTTCATCCTATAGACAGCACAGGTTTTTTTCTGGAATGGTGGGGAGTGGAGGTTCAATAACCCGGAGGGAGAGAAGAAAATTTTGAAAAATAACATGTTGGCTATCCGGAGGAAATGTTAATTTGACGACAGGCTTGGCGATCACATCTGGACAGGAGCAGGTACACCTCTGAAACCTTGTAAGTACACACAACAAATTCAGTAAATGTCAGAGACCAAATGTAATTGCCAAGAATTATTTTGGATCGACAGACAAATATTTCCATTTGCTATTATTATTCACATGGCTTTCTAGCCTTGACACGACCGCCAGGTGAAATTGGTGGAACAGAATGGCACAGCCACAGCTTAAATGAGGTGGATTTTGCCATTTATGAATAATTTTCCATCTCTGACTTATTTGCCGGGTGGGTGCTGGCCTTCCTTTCTACAAAAAATTCACATTGGTTCCGTCGGGCCAGGTTGGGTATGTGGCTTCCAATCTGTTGTTGTGCACAGGCAAAAAATGCAGGGAGAGGGAAAACCTAAAGAACTGGGCAGCACGCCTACGGGAGTTTTCCTCCTGGCTTTCCCATAAAAGGGTCAATGCCAGAATGGAAAGGAAGAGTTGAACGAATTTCACCACCAACTGAACCAAAAGAAAAGTAAAGCAAAATTACTCTGTAAACATTTTCCTTCTTTCATTCACAGCTTCTCTTCGCTTTCCACTTCTGGCTGGTGGGAGCCAGGCTTTCTTACTGCTGCACCTGTGCAGACCGGTCAGGGGAGAATATAGGCTGGAACTTTCTGGCAGGACGGAAACTCTTGGGTGGATTTTTCGTTTCTTATTATGAAAGTTATCATTGGCTTGTTTTCGTCTCTTTCAGCCTTCATACGATATATAAAATTTGACAAAATTCTCAACAGGAGTTCCCACTTTGTGCGCAGCCAAAACTTATGCTGGCTGAGCAAATGCTGCCACGGCAGTGCCTTATTGCTTTATTTATCATCCGTTCAGTTATGTGGTACTAAATCGTCAATATTTTCCAGCAATTTTACTTTGTTCCGTCTTTTAGTTGGAAATTTCTGAAACGTTCGACACATCAGAAGTGTATGAGCATTCTCCCTGTAAGTGGTGCCAGATCATTTATTGTCTTTTCCGAAAGTCGTAGAGCATCACGTGAGCGATGGGCATTTAATCTGCGGCGTTTCATTTTGATTTTATTGGAAGAAAGTTACTAGTGAAACCTTTAAAATTTGTTTCTAGACGAAGAATGTAACCTGTGTTAGCAACTGTCCCTTAAATTTTGCAACTGTTACATTTGCGTGCCTCTGAAAAATATGTCAAAGCTTTCATGGGCTTGATTTGCCTTGCTCTTTGAAAAGGAGTGCTGGTGGACGACGACTGACAGGTCTCGGCCAAAGGGCATGCTTCGGTGGCCGAATGGGAATGTTCGGCAGGAAATGAAAATGGAGAGTGATTATTTTGACACGGAGTCATTTACAGCAGAAATTTACAATTTATGGCATATGGTGTCTTTCAGACTATACAAGTGCTGCTTGTACCCATGCCTGGCATTTCTTTGCTGCGAATTACCTAAGGCAACATCGAAAAGAGAAGTATGAGTTTGATGCTCATTATGCTGCCGTGGTAATTCATCTTCAGTAGTTGGGAAATAATGGGCAAATTTTCCTCCATCCACGTTACTTTCCAAGGGCCTTTTGAGTATTTCGCAAGTTGCTACTTTCTGGACAGATCGTAAAATGACTGGTCCCCAGTTCTTGTAGTCTGATTCGAAAAACTGTTTCGACCAGGCCATTTTCTTCACTTTAATAAAAGCCATAACGGCACTCCTTCCCAATTCATTTCTGGGGCGGATCCGGGGATGTGCTGGGTGTGAATATTGCTTATTTTCAGTATCAAGACAAGAAAATAGCAAATTTTTCACAAAATTTTAAGCTCATTAGTTAAAAAGCTTATTTAAATAATCTGCAATTTTAATTCAAATGTACGATATGGAATAATTATTAAAATTTGTGCTACTGTTACTGTGTCAGATCTGGCAACATGTAGTTATGTCATATTTGTACAGCAGTTGGTTTCTCAAACACCTGTAATTATTTTATTGGAAAAATCGTGAGGCAGAAAAACAAAACATTATTCCGTCTATATATATTACAACAGCTTTGTATTCCAGACCGCTGCCCACCTAGTCCAAGGAAAGCACACCAGATATCAACAGTAAGAAAGCTTTATTTTTAGACGTCAGAACAACTATACCAGAGCAAAAATGCATACACTTTGCTGGTCTGTTGGACGGGACAGAGAAGACAGTTCGACAATCGTGTGCAATGACGTCACAAAAGCTTACAAATCTCGATTGACAGGCTGTACTGGTCCCGTGATTGACTCCAATCGATAGGCCGCCATGATATAAATGAGAATATTTGTTTGTTCGTTCACTATACACTCTTAGGCCATTTGGTCGATTGCTATGAAACATTGGCAGTTACGTTAACTTACTTCTAATTTAAACAATTTCGTGCCTACTACTACTCCAAGATATTGAGTGAATTTCTATATATTAATTAATTTCTGTTTGTATTACATTTTTAAATTTTACGTGTAGTGCCACCTACTGACAAAAAGATAAAAAGTAAAGTAAATATAAAATTATTTCGGCAACCCAATAGTGCTGGGCCATGTTCAGTAACACAGAACACCTAAGTTAGAATTCTGAGTGGCTTAGTGGGCAGAGCGAAGAATGTTCTGAGCATTATTGAACGATTATTCTCTTAGACAACTGGAAAAAATGGTGGATGAAGTTAAAATTATGATGCAACAATTGTTATAAACAAATTAATGAAGCAATTATTAATTGTAATCAACAAAATGGACCGTTATCTTCCGTTAAAATGTACAGGTACTTCTCGGTATACGCCGGCTCAATTTATGTCGATTCACAATAACGCTGCTGCGGAATTTGCCATTTTGTGGTGTAATTCCCCAATTTTCCCTATGCTAGACTGATTTTCAGTTCAGTATTGACGTATTTATCGAATCGCGGTATTTTACATTCATTAAAACAAAGATTTTTATTGAATATCTTTATTTTTTCTGTTTAATATTATTGGGTATGTATACATTTGCATTAAATTAATATTAAAATGCTAAACGTTTAGGTACCCACGAGTCAAGTTATTAAACTTAATAGTCCAATAAATGGCGTTCGAATCCATAGCGCCAATGAATGTATCTTGTATCAGTTCCTTCAGGAAAACACCTTACGACGCAGTAGCACTTCCGCCGATCACAGACTATTGTTAGTTAGTAACTACAAATCTACTTTTCGTTGGCCAGACGATATCTATCTCTCCTTATCCACCTTCAATTTTCCCGCTCAATCTGACCTTATATATGCGCTACGGTGACCAGTGGTCGACCAATCAGTGTCTCTGCTCGTCTGTAGCACTACATCGGGTTAACGTATCCTTTCAACTATGGAAAATTTGACGGATGAACTTTGTGAGTTAGACAATGATTGGGAGCGAAGTGCAAATGTAAAAAGGAGCATCATCGCATTTATTCGACCATATTCCTAAATTGTCGATGAAAGAAAACAAAAATGTAAACAATTAAAGATGGATACTTTTTTCCGAAAAATGTAAGAAATTCGAAACTAAAATTTTTTAATAAAAACATTTCACTTTATTTTATGATAAAATACATTTTAAAAATTAAATTTATATATATTTTTTATTATATTGTATTAACAACAAAATTATTTACTTATTTTTCACATAGGTAGAACCTCACTGTAAATATGGGTTCTTTTTAGCATAGTTGATTAGCGCCAGCTTTTGTAGAAACAGAGCTGCGGCATAAACTGAGAGCTACCTGTATTCCGAATCTGCTATACCGATATATGATAATTTTACATTTCGAAGTCATTTTAGAATGAGTTAATGATTTAGAATGAGAGAATAACTTTGTGATTGTTATAATAATATACTTTTAGTCTAACACGAGCAGCCATCTTGCAAATTGTACAAAGTGACAAAAACAATGACGTCACTAGTGGAAGTTAGCATAAATAAAAGCGGTGGGAGGAGTCAAGCAATAGTTAGAAACGATTTTAACATAGCAGCATAAGTAGACTTAGCAAGAATTCTGCTAAGTCTAGTTACTGAACACAGCCGTTTTTTTCTAAACTTATCACAATGGCCACTATTGGGTTGCTGAAATAATAATTTCGTACAGATTCGAACAAGAAGCTAAATAAAATAAATATAATTCATATAAAAATAGATATAATTTAAAAAGCAAGAAAAAATATTATATTCACTTAATTACTGCGACAGTGATATAGCAAGAAATAGATACGCTGTCGTTACTACAATAGGTAGTACGTGGCTCGCCTGCCAGGAGTAAAAAATGTTACACTGCTAAAACTGTATAGGTCTAAGTATCTAATTTTCTACATCTAATAACTCGGGGTTTTTCATTTCTGAATGGTACTTTTTTAATTATATTAAGTGCCCATCAGTAGCCGAATGGATAAAACCACCAAATGCTGATAGTAGGACCTAGGTTTGGGCATGGCTAATGAGCTGGCCATGTGGAGTTTTCCAGGTTTTTTCACGTTAGTAAAATAGTTAAATAGGGGCCAGTTTCCCATAAAAGTCCTCTCAAGAGTCATTCCCTCGGCAGATTGCCCATGTGTTGCGTAACCAAATAGACCAATCTATAGAAAAATTATTCTAATTAAACTTTATTTATGGGGATGTTCTTCACACGTTGCATTCTGATAATGTTTTTAAAATGGATTTTACCCCATACTTTTTTCAAATTTACCATTAATAAGGCCAAGTGTAACAATTACTTCACAAACCCTACAGGTACCAGTACTTTATAAATCTGGGTGTAACTGGCTAGTTATTATATAAAGTAGCAACTTCTTTTTGTATTTTGTCAATGCTTTTATTCAGACATCAGAGCAATAATTTGTTACCATTTGAAATCGGATCGAGCTCTGGATAAATCGTAGTAGTTAAATTGCGAGCAAGTTGTTCGTTAGTGGGGCTAACAGTCGATGGTCAGTGATGAATTGGCCAGAGTATCGGTCAAGGTTTATATTAGTCTTGTGCATTTTAGTTCACTTTGAAGATCAGTCAATTTAGTTCATTATACTTCAATGAACTAGTTCGTTCTTTTAGTTTATTTAGTTTAGTGACCTTCACATTACAGTTTATTCAATTTAGTTCAGATCAACACACCAGTGTTGAGATCACCTGTGAAGTAGGAAGAAAACTTAAAACGTTATAATCAAAGCAAGCCAAAAACTAGAACAAAATTTTATAAAGGAAAAAGCACGATTTATTAGATAAATTTGTTCGTAGCTTCAGGTATATATGATAATTTATATATATGTATATTAGTCCTTATTTTATGGTATCTTAGTTTGTATCCCCTTATAATGTCCAGTGATTCCCCGCATTCACTAGTGTATAGCAATTTTTACTTAAAATTTAGTGTTCGTTCACTTTTCCCTTATAATGCATGCAACAACAAAAAAGGATGTATAGTTTTATATAGACAAATTTTACCTTGAATAGATAAGTTCCACACTGTGTAAAGTGAATAATTATTTTGTTTATTCAACACTTGAATACAGCACACATGCACATAACAACAAACTAGGTAACTCAGGAACTAAAAAGCTAAAAAAAATTGAGCAGTTGTGAACTAGTTCACTCCGGTCACTTGAGAGATTGATTTTTTGAGCTAGTTTGTTCACGAAATATCCAAGCCTAGTGTATATGGTAAGCGGTGTAATTATTGTTTATTTGATCGCTCGATGATATCAGCACCCCTAGTAACGGTTGTGTAGATACTCGTTCCTTACCAGGTTATACCACCCATCTTTAGAATAGTTCTTTTCTTTTAAATTGATGGCATCCTAACAATGATTTGTTTATTTAATGTTTGTGGGCTACATAAAAACACAGAATTATTTAACATTATATCACTTTCCAAAACAAAAAGAGACATATATTTATAATTATAACACAGTTGCACAGTGCAATTAATAAAATTACAATTTACTAATTCTGCATTCCAGAATTTTATTTAACAATATAGGATTTTTCAATGCTGTTTCTCAAAGTTCAAATCTATAAAAAACATGCAACAAAATCGCAACTGTTGCCAGTTGAACGTCGAGCTTTTCGCACAGGCAGTACACTTGAGATGAACCTGGTTATTGCACGCAATGATAAAACTGACAACTACGCGGTAAGTCACGAACACCAACAAACAAAATGGAAGTTTTGGTTAGAAATAAATACTCTTTCTTGCCATATATTTAAGAATAGCCAGATCTCATTGTCTCTCGAAATATTTTTTTATTTCTCTGTTGATAGCTCGACACGTACTTCGCAGCCGTCTTGTTTCTTCTCGCGTGCATGGGATTGTGGGAACTCTCTTATGACTGGATATCTCTTGTGTTGATCGGGATTGAACCATGTTTCAGTCAAGATTTAAATGGTCGAGAGAGGTCCCACCATGGCATTTGCCAATCGTATCACAATCTAGATTGAAATGCTGAGTGCGAATGGGGTGTTAGGGCAGGAAGCCTCGATTAATATACAAACTTTAGATACAAACAGGAAGTCACGTTATTTTAATTCAGAAATTTTTCCGTTCCAGAAAGGTGTTAGATGACCGGTTCAACTCTATTGTTAAGGAAAATGACATATGACGTACAGGGACAAGCCACTACTAGCGAGGTTGCGGCCAAAGTTTTCAACTTGAAAATGTGAACATTGGACGTTCAGCGCTTCTATCCTGTAAGCCTAGAAGTTTACAGGATAGCGTTTGGACAATGACAATGGCGTTTGGAATGTCAGTGGAATCATGCTCGACTTTCCAAACGCCATTGTCAAACTTCTGAGCTTACAGGAAGACGGCGCTTCAATGAGAAAACATGAACGTGCGACGTTCATGTTTTCTCATTGAAAACTTCGGCCGCAACCTCACTATTAATTTGAGACAGAGAGCAAGTATTTTAAATTAAATAAATTATTAAACCTATGATTAAAACTTTCAGCCCAGTATTGTAACCATGTCACAATAAATGATTTCTCACTTATCTTTCTTCTTCCTTGGGATATGGATTTAATCAGTTTCCAGGAGTTGAAGACATTGTTAAATCTTGCAAACATAACGCTACGTCTTATGTGGCAGCGTCCAGTGACCATTGGCGGAAAGAATTTTTGTATGCACTTCCAACTAGCCAGCGACTTCTGTCCAGAGTGCGTGTTGTTTACAAGATGATGGCGAGAAGACTTCGTCAAATGCTACTATGGGAAATATGACGAGCATTAAAACGGTAAATTTGACAGTTAATTGTTATCACTAACTTGATATGCAATAAATATAAAGAATCTTTATGGAATAATAAGTTAAAAAAAGTTTTATTTTTTAACAAAATCAGAAATTATTAAATTACGTAAAAGATTATTAATTAAAGTACATAGGCCTACAACGCATATACACAATTTATTTGTCATTCTGTTTACATTCATCTTCAAAATGAGCCATTTTCTTCGTTGGAAGCGCGAGCAGTGGAAACGGCGATCAAACTGGCTTGGTACCTGCTTCCTGCACGCACGTGTAGAATCGTTATCTGGTGGTCGCTACACACTAAATGCGGTTACTCCGGATACATACATTTGCTTGAACCGGTTTGTCCGCTTTGCTTTGAAGTACGTTCACGCCCGCAGTCACTGGATGCTGCCATGTAGGACATAGTCTAATAGAGACGAAACATCATGGTGGTAAAAAACAAAGTTCTTGTGTAAAAACAATTTGTTTTAATAGCTAGTAATGGTCGATATAACAGGTTTATATTCTGGCAAAGAGCTAGGCTACACAACCGTTATCATCGAGCTACGAATTTACAATAGAGTTTTACAGCCTACCGTATAGGCGCTTTTCTATTGATTCGCGCACTTTCGGGTGATAAGACGAGTACCGATAACGAGATAACTCGTAAGAATTGGTAACTTATTCAAGTAGGGAATTTGCAACTCTGGGAAAATTGTAACTCAGTTTGCAATGCACAATAGGATTGAATGCAACACTGGCATTATTGCGTAACATAACTGTAAATTTAGCTTCATAGTTGTGCTGTGGAAAACTCTTTTCTACTTAGAATTTTAGGAAGCGCGTATGCGTGCTTCGCACCTTCAAATCTGCCACAACGTCTGTACTAAATGTTTTTAGTATGGTCTCTGTCGCGACAGACCACTAGTCACAGTCGTTTCCTGCCACTACCACAAAATAAAGGCTGAAAAGTGGTAGGTGAGTCGAGTCTCGAGCGTGACATCCGCAGTAACAATGAAGGTAACGATATCAACACGGTAAAGAATCAGGTGGGACAGCATGCCACTAATCCATGCAATTTTTATTTTTTTAATACATTATTTATGGGTTTTGCCTCTAAACTGATTATTGGAATTTGGGACCAGTTTTGGACCATTACAGATATTTGGCCGTCCCCGGCGATGCTTACGGCGAGTAAATTCGTAACCTAATCCTACGGTCGTGTGTTTATAGCAGTTTCGGAAGTGACGTTATTTGCAGTAGTAAAGGCGCAGCCATACATCAACAGCAATCAGTTTATGTCCGTAAATCGCATTAATGGCGGGTGGACAATCTTTCGAAAAGTCGTGAAAGAAAAGCGTTTAAAAAGTCTGATAGAAACAGGTAAAAGCATGCCTAAAGTCTTTTTGCGGAAAAATTCTACTTTCAAAAGACGTTAGGACAAAGGAACAATGAGCAGCCACCACCCTAGAAATAGAAAACCCTAATTTAATTAAATGTGCAGGAACCGTCGTCTTTGTAACCCACCTTTGGAAATTTTTTTCAGATGTTAAAGCGCGAAGAGGAAGTGCGATGGGAGGAAACACAGGTAGGCCACCACTCTTCTTTTCTGCCCGTCGGTCCCTGCACCTTTTCTCCTTCCCACGCAACCCTCCGAAAAGTATTGGAGACGCCAGAATCCGTCCCACTCCACCTTCTAGCGCCCACCTTTCCAGCGGAGGAGACCTGTTGGGAAGAAGGTGTCCCCTTTCCCTACCCAGACCCCGGTAATTTCTTGGAAAAACCGTGGGAGACATCCTTGGAACGGGCCTTGGTGTGCATGATGCGAGGAATTTTTGCCAGGCAGACGGAGCTCGGCTGGCCCCTCCCGCCGCCACCAATTAGAGTTAAAGAGGCTGGTGTTCAGACTGAGAAACCCGCATTTAGAAATGCGGGGACCAGCATGATACGACACACCCCCGCCGAGGTCGCGGGCTGGCAGAAAAGTCAGAGTGAAAGGTGTGGTGGGGGTGACGGGAGATCCGGTGGAGGTGCTTGTGTTTCTCTTCCATTGCACAGTTCCGGTCACGAGCCACGTAAAACCCGGGCGGCGGCCAGGCCTGCGACTGCCGACGACGTAACCTCCCAGTCCGGCCACAAAAGCGTATTGGAATACGGGCGAAGTTTGTCTCTGGGCCAGTTCATGGTAAGATTTGATCGCTTTGCTTCCGCTCTCTGCCGCAGCCGTATCTTTCCAATAACGTTTTTTTCCGACTAATTCTACTTTTAATTTTAAGAAAGTGTGCGCCACCTAGCTACCCCGTTATACCGAGCGCCCTCGGCAACCAGTATAACGGAGTAGCTAGGTGCTTTCACCACGAAAAATTGGACAAATGCTGCTGTTACTTCGTTTTGTTTACTGCGTTGTATAGGCTTACTGAAATGAAATTACCAGTGTAGTTTTGGATACGGATCTTTTTGCTTGTGCCACTTTTTCTTCCACCGGCAGACGGTTGCAATAAACGTTGCTGTCATTGGCTGGCGCCCGGCTCGGCCGGGTTACTTACGGTGCGTTGTTTTCTTACTCCACCTTTAAAAATTTCTGCAGAACGCGTTCTGGTATTCCAGTCGGAGTAGGCGGTCACTATTAGTAGTATGCCACGGAGAGCAATATGGCGTCCTCTATGGTTCCCATAGATTCTTTTTACCAACGAAAATTACACATCTTCAAAGCGCATTTAAGTGCACCCGGTGATGTAATTGTCATCTGGAATTTAATCAGGACACCTTCCTGACACCTTCTGTCGACAGTACAACTATAAAGGATGATATTCCATAATTCTTGCAGTTGTAGTGCCAAATATGTATTTACTTGTATAAATCTTGGGTCACGGTACAATTAACGATGCATATATTTTTAAAAATTTTCATTCGCTTTTAACCTGCTTGCAGAATATAACGTCTTTAAAAATAGCAAAAAAAAAAAATTATTTGTGGGGAAAACATTCCACCTTTGCAAGGAAAAGTATTGGATTTGAAGTTATTCGGGGCTGGGCATGCGGTCGAAAATGCATTTGGAAGATTAAAAGCCATATTTCCAAGGCTTGGAAAAAGAATGGATAATGGTATTGAAATATGAAATTTAATTGTAAGAACTTGTTGTATAGTGCATAATTTGTGTTTGAACACAGACGACCGGTAGATAAAATCTGGTTTAATGAAAGGGATCGGGCCGATTGCGCATTAGACAGGAATTGCATGGTGGCAAGAAACAATCACAACGCAGTTTTAATCAGTAACGCTATAGCCGGGGGTTTTATTTCGGATTAGGTCGATAAAAATACTACGCTGTAAGACAAACTTTTGTCTGAAACAGTTTTTTCGTTACTTTTGACGTACGCGGTGATTTTTAATTTGCGCAGAACTTTAATAACTTTTCAACTATTACTAATATAAAAGCTGTCGTTTGTGTGTGTGTTTTAATTTCTTATAACTGCTGCAATTTTTGTCCAATCCAGACGAAATTTTGGTTATATTCGTTTTATTTTCTAACGCGGGGCTTCTTAAACTTTTTTTATTCACGATCCCATTTATGATTGTGATTTTTTTTGCGACCCCAAAAATATAAATAAAGATATATACAAATTTGCAAAAACATTACATTACTCTTGCGTTACAATGGAACAGAGACAACTGAATACACCGAAAAGCGATATCACTGCACTAGTTCACACCACAATCAGTGTTGCTGAATCGTTGTCTCGCTGCACCAGAAGTACACACAGCGCAACTTACGAAACCTATGACACAAAGTGTGCCATTTTCAAACTGTCACAAACTATTTTCAATATTTTGCATTAAAATGTCGTGATCCCAAGATTTCGCTAAGCGACCCATAGTTTAAGAAGCCCTGTTCTAACGGAAAGTATACACTATTTCCGAAAATATTAGCTATAGAATAAACATTTTATCGATTTCGGATCGGTGATGGCGCTTACGTTGCAGTGACGTCGGTGACCACCTGACGTTCCTGCTCGACCAGGAAATTTCCCGTAAGTTGAATTTTTAAATATTTTGGCAAATAGCATATTTTAAACTTACTCCATTAAAAATTTTGAATTTAAACTTTAAAAAGTGAATTACAACTTTTAAAAAATCTTTCCATATTGATTACGTGACGTTCTATTTCCAATAGGAAGTAACGATCTAACCAGCGCATTATTCAGAAAATGTTATCGCTCATCCAACTAACATACTGTACTGTACATGCAGTTCATCCTTGTTATGCTTTCGCTATTCGCCCAATGTGAACTAAGCTTTACTCGATGTTGCTCAAGTCGGACTACGCGTTCTTAGGGGTCTCGGTCGTTCTTATTCTTTTAGATCTATAATTTACCCGATCAATTTACTGTTAAGCTTTTCCCTAAGAAATTGTTTTTTTTTTCGACAAAATAGCCAGTCTTTTATACAATTCACCTTTGTTTTATAAATGCGGTTAATTCCGCAAAGATGGTAGTGAAATTTTTTTTCTAGCGACAACGCTCGACAGTTCCGATCTTCGAAGCAAGTCGTCGGAAACGATGTCATGTCTGACGTGTTAATCGCTCTGTTTTTCTCTTTCGCCAGCGAATCGCGCTCAGTGTGAACTAAGCTTAAGAATGGCTTTGTCGAGGGCTACAGAAACAGCGTGACAACGTCAAACTCGACACGAAGCTCTTCTCGGTTCTTCTATCTCTACTTTCTCATAAAAAATATTCCGTCACGTCTACGGGAGAATGTCTAGTATGAAATAAAAAGAAAATTCAAGAAGCATATTATACAGAATTTATTGCCATTTAATGAATGTTTTGAAAATGCTTGCCTTCGCTGGCAATTATAGTTTTTAACTGATTTTTGAAACATTCGATAACGGTAATATTTGAATAGTTGAGCATTGTGATATACTCTGTTTTTAAGACAGCCCCATATAGAGAAATCACACGGGTTTAAGTCTAGATATAAAGCAACCACTCCACGCCGCCCTCAGCATATTATTCGTAATCTAATCCGATTACACGCTTCTCAAACATACAGTTAAGGCTTTTAAACACTTTGTGCCATGGGGTCTGCACCATCTTGCATAAATCGAGCACGACGATGTTTATGCCCAACAAGCGTTTTGGGATAAAACTTTTACAAGTAATCGACATATGCAGCAGAAGTAACCTTCTTTTCGAAGAAGAACGGTCCAATAACTGCTAGCACCCGTAGCACACCAATTAGTACGCTGATAATTGTTCGTGTGTTTAGTTGCCACGTCAACGCAACACTTGGGCGATCTGCCTAGGGGAACGCCTTCCGGGATATTTTTTTAAAGGAAACTGGCCCCTATTTAGACGTTACAGACGTGGAGAAAACCCGGAAAACTCCACGTGGCCAGTTCGTCCGAGCGAGGCGCGAACCCAACACCTAACTCCCAGTGTTTAGGGAACGGAACAGCTCGGCTACTGGTGGGCCAATACACTGATAAAGCACCAATTGGGAAATTAGTAGAAGTTTTATTATAATTTTTTTTACAATAAAAACGTGTCGTTCTAAAGTGAGTGCCACAATTTTGAAAATGACTTAACGTTAATAAATTATTGACATTAAAAATGTAAACATTGTACTATATAGTACTTTTCGAATTTTATTTGAATCTCATTCAGGTGACGTTATTAAAGTTGAAAGTTTTGCGTGAATTAAAAATTGCCTATTATTAAAAATTATTATTATCTCAAATCACTCAATTATATATTTTGTTCATAATGGAAAATAAAATCGTTTCTATTTGTACTCTCACTCTCTTCCTCTTCGTAATGCAGTCTTCCTCGGAAATGGTCATATCTTTCTTTTCGAGTCCTCCGAAGCGGCATTACTTCGTTTCATTTCGGTCGGTAGTTCGTTAGCCCGTTTCTTTCTCTACGACGACCCGGTCACTCTTATTTCGACGTCGTCTTCTATTAATGCAGTGCAAGTTCACTATTTTTGTCGTTCTCTAAAAATACAAGAGCAATTATTTAACAATGTACATAATTTTATTTAAATACACAAAAAAGGATGTAACTTGTACGAAAACATTAATTTATTATAGTAAATGAGGATTACATATGTTGTAACAACAACGAAGAAAAATCATCGGGACTTAAATTACACAAAACTATACGTAAAATATAGATTGCGAATGTGCTTAATAAACATTGTCGGTTGAGTATACTACACTCAACCGGTTTTACATAGTTCTGCAGTTGTAGATTCTACAATGTTGTGTTAGACACAGTATTTCGAGAAGTTAACTTATAACCGTCGAAGATGATATAAGTAACGGACCTCGATAGAATAGAATACATCCGACGATAGGTGACCGTAAACGTTCTAGCATCACCCTACCGCAAACTATCTTCCATTAATTAATTAAGGATAGACTTTCGGCCAGCCCGCGCCCTGTAGCTTAATCGAACGAATGGCCGAGCGGTCGAGGTGGCAGCCTACCGTTCCGTGGAGCCGGGATGGAAAAATTTCCAGGAATTTTTCGGGGGTAGTCCGTCCAAATATATCGGGCCGCTCCGTGCTCGGCCCGGCCGAAAGAGGCGCTCTTCGTGCCCGCAGGACGGAAAGTGATATATCTACTAGTAGCCCGGGACGCCCCCTAGTGGGCGTTATTTGTTTTTTTTCGTTATTCTCCGTGGTATAAATAATAAATTCCTATCACAAATAACAATAATTTATTGTTAATTTAAAATCATCGCTAGGGCACCCCTAGTGGGCATTTTAGGCATACCGTTACCGATTACAGATATACAAATACGCGATTATTATATATTAATATAATAATGTCAAATATATATATATTTATCACGACAAAGTACTCAAAGATATACGCTTTGCCGCCGTTAGCGGAAAATTTACTATTACCGGGTAGAAATGTCTGGCAGCTCGAATTCTCGCCCGTCCGAATATGGGCTAAGGCCAACGGGTTTTTTTGTGGCTGGGAGACGCGTCTTCCGGGCGAGAAATCGCCTGGGAGACGATCCAGGGTGTCCGGGTACGTTAGAGCCGCCGCAAACTAGCGCTTTGCGAGAGCGCAACCGATGACGTCAAAGGCTCCGCCCTTTTCTTCTTGCCCGCGCGGTTTTTTCTTTGTGAGAGCAGCGATACGAGAGTACGTTCGCTATTGACAGAAGTCAACAGCTAGAGCAGTCGCGCTAGCAAAGAGAGCGGAGAAGACGGATGACTACACGAACGTGTCACACGTCGAAAAAGAAATAATAGAATTTTATCGATGTAGGTAAATTACATAATTAATACATTCGATATTGAAAAGAAAACAGTATAAAAGTTGTCTGTAAATAGTAGAGGAGAAGGTGGTATTACGGCGAATTGTAAACGAGGTATCGTAACTACACCCACATTTTTTGTGCGAAAAGTACCGGTAACTATTAAACTAAATGTTCCTAATTGGATTTTTCGCTAGCGTAACTATAAGTATGGTTTTTGAAGGCTTCCGTACAAAAAGTCAGAAAGTAGGCTTAGAGAAAATCGGGTGGTAACAAGGAACCTTACCGTATGTTTTTAAAAAATGCTTTAATGTATCCAAAAACAAATAGGAAAGTACAAGGAATGTTAAATAATTACAAAATTATTTACTCCAATGTATTTTATCGAAAAAATGCTTTTATAATAGAAAAATATGACTTCCGGCAGTTCTTTTTCGATATTCTCGGGAAGAATTGGCTTTATACGTAGTGTCTTTTTCACAAATTGCTCCAAACGAATGTCTGCTCGCAAATAGAGAGTTCGGAAGAGTTGGGTTCCGTACTAAAAACACCAATGGAATCGCCATCTCGAATTAACTTACATCTGTCCAGACCAAATTTTAAAACACGTGAACATCGCGCAGATTAATACGTACCCCTAAAGCCTGGACTCCACATTATCGGAATTCGCGACATAATCGTAAAACTGAAAGCCAAACTGACGAAACTTTCAGTTTTGTAACGTTCAGTTGGACAGAAACAAAACTGAAAGCGGAGTTAAAAATTATTTAACTTTTCCGTTTTCGTCCCGCGCTTCTATCGTACTGCAACCAATAAAACGCGAGGATTTCTGACGCGTAGTCACGTGCATTAGTCACGTGCTGTTTGATCATCGTAATGGCGGAAAGTGTAGCAAAAACGACGAGGAAACAAATAGATTTAGAATTCTTCATCGAAGAAGTTAGAAAATACAGATGTCTGTACGACAAAAAATGTAAATAATTCAAAGAGTATTTACAATTTCATTGTTAATTAATAAATGCAGAGAAAGCGTGGCAAAATTCGTAGCGTCGTTCGTGTTTGACTACGACAATTACAGAACTGACCAACAGATGGCGCATTTCTAGTGGAGTCAAGTTAAAACGAAAACATAACTGAAACGAAAATTCTATGTTTCAGTTCTGTTTCTGAGTTTCTGTTTTCAGGTAATGTGGAGTCCAGTCTTAAGAGATTTTTGCGCGGTCGAAATCTTGCGGCTTCCGGCAAAGAATGACAAACGAATACAAAAAGTTTTATGCGGCGGAAGAACCTGGCCCGGAGGTGTAATAACCGCCAGGCGTATGAAATGCGCCGAAAGATTTTCGCGGAAAAAGAAATACGGCCAAGCCGGTGGATAACGATCGACTAGACGGGGGAATAGAACGGTGACGAAATTGCCGCGCGATAAATATTTCCAAAAACGAAAAAGCAGCCGGACGAGACGGAAACTGTTCTGTAAAGAAAACGTACAAGTTACGGTAGAGGCCAGGAAGACGCGTAAAATTGTGTGGCAGAAAACTGAATCAGAAATCGGCTTTCGGTTCAGTTTCTGTTTTATGCTTTTATGTCAGAACGCACCTACGTAAAAATTCTGCCACTGCCACTAACGGCGCTACATTTTATTACTTTTTTTCTCTCGTATATCTATCCCTTTCTTCTGTACTTGCATTTTTTCGCCGCTTCCTCCGCTATAATATAGAAAATTTAAATTAATCGACTCGTATTCCGAATTCGAGTAAAGAACGTGTGATCTAAATACTAGGTTTATACGTCGATTCTACTAGACCTACCTGTTATTTGAAATTTAGCACCTATGGCCATCCGTAAACGTTGTTTAAACACAGTATCTTTATACTTTACACCGATGTGGTCGAACGGATTGGATAAATTCCTCTATTTCATTTATTTTTCGGTTTTTCGAAATCGTCACAATTGTAGGTTAACATTGTTAGAATAAAAACCGCGTGTCTACTTCGACGTCACGAAGACTTTTCTTCGTTGGAGGAATTTTGGCGTAAAAACTAGAGACACGCTCTACTCTTTTTTTCAGTCGTGTTTCGGCCAAAATTTCAGAAAAATTTTACGCTAGATTTTACGCACGCGTGTTCCTGGCCATAAACGACACCGGCCGAAATCTGGGGCCCGGATCGGCCGGTGTGGTGGGTTACCGCGTGGTTAAATACGACAAATTACCACGTATGGCATCCGCAATGGGTCCAGCCGGTCCTAATCCCATTTACTATCGGCCACAAAATATCCATCGCCCCTCTGGCCGCAATACAGTCCGGGAACGTTCGAAACGGTTTCCGTGATAAAAGGGAAGAGAGAAAGGGAAGCGTAATTTTACTTCTTCGGAAATACGGGAGCGGATAAGCCGAGTGGTAAGTGCGGGACAAAATGACAGTAGAAGGGAGGAGAGATGCAAGTATTTCTTCTCCGGAAAAAGATTAATTTGCCAACAAGCCAATGCTGTTAGTAACGTAGGTGGAAGCGTTTGGAAGAAAGGTGGGAAAAATTTGCGCGTAGTGCGCGTGCCGAAGGAGTACGCCTATCCAAACCAGGTTTGGGTCGTTAGATTAAACTAAATTTTGTTTGGCTCGACGGTCGATCGTACGGGATTAATTCCGTTAAGAAAACGCCTTCCGTGGATATGCCGGGTAAACGATACATTTTCGACGGACCGAGCTAAATACTGGTCGGCCGAAACGACGAATATAGACCGATAAGTCGGAGGCGAAATTGTTTTTAAGAATGGCGATTATACGCCGAGTAGAACGGCCGGGAGCCGCATAAACATTGCTCTACAAAAGAACTAGGTCCTCCTCTACGTGCCTATCTTTGTTTCGTCCTTTTCGAAAATGTTCGGGCCCGGCCGACGGCGCCGAGTCACTAGGGACGATGAAAAAGACGGCCGAAGTTGTCGAAGGGATAAGAGCGAAATCCAACTACTCGCTCGTCTCCACTCTTCGTCCGACATTCGGACCGCTTTTTATGGAAAGCGCGAAAAACGCACTCCGACGTCCGACCGAGACATTCGAATGAACGGAGTTAGAATAAAGGACGAGGGTGCCGGCCGGCAAAGTCCGGGGTGGAAGGTGGCACTTCGGACCCTTAACGGCGGAAGTAAATTGGCCAATTTACGGCGCGTCCGTGGCCAGAAACCGCGGTGGATATCGGCAGTATTTTATTTAAAACTCTTCGGGCCGTCGACGCAATTCCTTTTCAGCTTTGCCTGGGGTAGAAAGGAATGGCGCGGACGAAAGGAGTTTTCTTTTAGTTAAAGAGCGGCGATTGCTTTTCTTTCAGACCGCTTTGGCTGGCGAAGACTGTGGGCCTGGCCACCGAGAGGAGGCTTCCGTCTACGACGCCTATCTTCAACGGCTGCTGATCAGGTAAGCCCCGACGCTCCTCTTCCCTTTCTAAACTACGCTCCCGCCGCTTAACGTATAATCTGCGCTTTACTTTCCATTCCCCTTCCTTTCCCTCGCCAGTTTGCGCCCAATTTCCGTTTCCCGGGTGGCGGCCGCCACCTTCTTACCCGACTCTCCTCCGCGGAGGAAACCGTTTACCTCTTCGGCCGGAAAGGTGGGCCGGAGTTTCGGAAAATATAGTATTTCAGCAAATTCGTACGTCCGTCGAGTGGGCGGCGGCGGTAACGATTTACACCGGTAATCGAAATTTAATTGAAAAAGCTACCGGCCGTCGGGGACGTTTTGCGGCCGCATCCGAAACGAAGGTTACGTTGTCCGTCCGCGCCGGACAACGTAACCGTAAATTATTCCGTCCTAACGTTAATTTATAACGGTAATAAAAACGATGGAGATTCCGCCGCCTTCAAATTCGTGTCACCACCGCTTACCGTCCACACCTAATTGCTGCATTTACCGTAGCCTACTTCTTTTTCGCCAAATAAGTACTTTGGCCCTCTTCGGCCTTACTAGAAACATCGAAACTGCGTACGAGTTACAATTTACCAATTACTCTCGGTTACTTTCGACCGTTTACCCACGAAAAACTTTTGCTCGCATTCTCGAATTCTTCCTTCACCGTCTTTCCGGTTCTTTTATTCACCGGGTTACGTTACCGTCAAATTATCGCCCCGACCTTCGGAAGAAAACCCCACCCTTGCCCTGCGCGCGCTACCGCTCCCCCTTAATACCCAGAGGAATCTTCCTTCCATCGGCTCGGGCGGAAGCGGTTCGGCTTTCGGGCGACCGAAGGACGGACGATTTCTCAAACGATTGTTTTTTCCAGACAAAGGAGAGAAAGGGAGGAGCTGGAGAGACGTCACAGGAGGGAACTCGAGTCCTTTCGACGGGAACGACGCTCCGAAGAACTCGACGCTCGACCCCTTCCCGAACCTCCGCCGGGATGCTCCGCCTCCCACGCCCGTCCCCGGGCTTCCCGGCCCGACCGTCTGACCTTCGAAACCTCTTCCGGCTCCGTCCTTTCCGTCGGCGGCCGCGCCTCCGCCCCGGCCGCGGAAGGAGCGGGCGGCCCGTGGGAGATCGATCCCCCCTCTTCACCCGCTCGGACCGGCAACGCCACCCTGACCGAAGACCTGCTTCGGTTGGTGCGGGGCCTGGGAGCCGGAACGGATCCCGCTCCCGGGGGCGGAGGGCGGAGCGTCACCCTGGACCAGATGAAGGAGATGCGACTGACGGAGACGCCGCCCCGGAGCCTCTTCTCTCCCTCCTCCTCTCCCTCGGCCGGAAGTCGTCCCTTCCGCCCGCCGGGTGCCCGGAGCGAGGGGGCGGCCGTCAGCTGGAGCACCACCGATCGACCTTACGTGGCCTCTTCCGCCTCCTTCCGCTTTCCCGCCCGCCGCGGGCGGTGACCGTCTTCCGGCGGCCGGGGGCGGGGGGAGGCGGGGCCTCCGCCGCTCCCGGTCCGAAAAGGAGGAGCGCGGTCGTCGGACCTCCCCCTCCGGCAGCCGCCGCGCTCTTCTCGGACGTTTTTTTCTCGCGCGGAGGCGACGCGTCTCGGTAGACGGCGCGGCCTCCTCCGACGGTTGGCTCAATAAAGTCTTTGCTTACGTAATCCGAGTCCGACTCTTCCTTTGTCCCGTCGATTTACACGCGAAGGCGAAAGCGCGATTTGTACTTTGTCACTTTTACGAATAGACGGCGATTTAAAAAACCCGATATATACAGCAGTTACCACGTTAACGTTGTTTTTGTTTACCTTATGGAAATTAAATTCTGTATCTGTATTATTTTCAATACCGATCTTTCTTTCGCGCTGCCAGTCGAGACAAAAACGTTTTCGTCATTGGCTGGCTCTTGCCAGCGCACTTACATTGGCCGACGTGAAAATGTTTAACTCTCTTCGCCAGGCGCTCTGACGCTTCGCTTCCGACGTAAATCGCTCTCGACGATAGCGTTTCCGACGGCGACAAGTTTTAAGAAGGGAGAGGCCTAAACCCCGAGCGGATGGCTCTTCTTTCTTTTTCTCTTTTATTGCGGACGGAGGCGGTGTTGAAAGGTTTGCCGCCGACCGGGAGTAAACTGACGCGACCACCGCCGTTCGGTAGCTCGGCGACGATATCGTACCAGCGACCCGTTTGGGGGAAAAGAGCGTCGGAAAGCCGAGAGCGGGGACGACCGAAGTTCCGGTCGGAATATTTGGCCACCGAGCGCGGACGGAAGGGGCGTACTAAAAGGTATCGAAATTTCGGGTAACGTAGGCGCCGGCTTCTTTCCGTCCGCCGGGTTGGTGTACGTTCGTCTTTTCGGAGGTGGACGGGCACGCTTAGGTGGTTTGTGACGGGAGTGGGTTTCGGCTTCTTCTTCCGGTTTATTTTCTTGTTTATAAAAGAACGCCGCCTCTTCGAACGTCTACGGAGGAAAACAGAAAAGAATCGACAAATATTACGCCGGAAGTCGATGGACAAAGCCACGACAAACCAATTTTGAACATAATTTTTAAAAACTCTGGAACTCGGCATTTGCCTAGATTCGTTACTCGGATTGTTCCGGTGTATTATCATTTAAAATGTCGGTGACGATTTTCCCACCGTCGGCTCCAACACGGGCAAACTACGAGTCCTTCGGGTATTTCGGATAGAAACGTTACCATATTTTTTTATTGTGTTTCCGAGGTAACTATTTTCATTCTTACCATTAATTAATTTGTGGCTGGCCGGTAAAACTTGTTGTATATATAAGCCATGGATTCGGTCTATTTTATCAGTTCGATAATATTCCGACACTCAAAATGTAGGTTGGGGACGGCTGCAATAAAGCCATGTTCCCCTCGTAGTTCGGGTTTCTTCGTTCAATTAGGCAGTTAACAAACATCCCTTATTTAATAAAAAGTAAAATACATCTGGATACGAGTCCAATCACCAGGAACAACTATTTCCATTGCAGAGACAACCTGTCTTTATAGGCTATGCCTCTGCACAAATATGTAAAACAGTTTAAAATGTTCACAGGTGACAATCCCAACACAATTAAAAGTATAATTTGTATACTTTTGTCTCTGCAATGGAAATAGTTGTTCCAGGTGATTGGACACGGCAAGCAAAATTGGACTCGTATCCAGATGTATTTTACTTTTTATTAAATTGTAATTCTGCCAGCCATTTTCTACAAACGTTCCTTATCTTATTTTTGCTTCGGCACACGTACGACATAATTTACTAGCGGACCAGCCCGGAGTTGCTGGGGTAAAAACTAACGGTACCAAAGATTAAGATTATTAGATGGTAGCCCATCTTACCCGTTTCACAGGGTGCGAGAATTAGGTTCACTGTCTGTCTCGAGGCTAATTAGATAATTTTTAGACGGGTCTAAAAATATGTTCCATTTCCCGCAAAACGCGTGTAAAATAGTCGAGTAGAAGCCGAGTTCTCCGGGATAGTCGTTAATATTTACATAAATGACCCCTTTGAACACGTACGCGGACGATACCGTAATTACTCACTCTGGTACAGAAGCTAAAATTCTTGCAGACAACTTAAATAAAATATTAAGTAAAATTGAAATAATTACACGGAAACGAATAAGTTAAAAATAAATAGAAGTAAGTCAAAATTTCTTCGTTTTGTTAATAGAAATAAAACCGTTAATCCGGATCATCGGCAAATCCGAATTAATAGGGATAAAATCGCCGGCAGAGCCGTCTGTTACGTTTTAGGACTCGGTGTGGAAAGAGGACGCCGTCTCCGACTCTAGTTACAGACGGAAGCCGATAATAGAGAGGTTGCGTCGCGAGCGGAAGTACACGGTTTACGTTTTAACTCCGAGAAAAAATCGTCGCGCGTCGACTGACGGGAAACATGTTGAAAAAACGGCGGAAACGTTTAACCACGACGAACGTTACCGGCCAAGGTAAATAAACAAATTAAACTATTTTAATGTATTTATAGGATGTTTAATAACACTAAATAATTATTTTTAATTGGCGCCGTGTCTCCTACCGTACGATAGGACTACCTCGTACTTTTGTCGGGGGAAGTAATGGCTTACGTAAATTCGGAAAATTTTTAGAAAATTTACAAGCCAATTACGCCGTCGATGGTAGAAGATGCCGCGGAAGAACAAACCTACTTTAAGATAAGCTATTACCAAAGCAAATATATGTAAATTCTATAGACGCTTCGCATCGCTCGCTAAAAAATTAAATAATTTCTGGATTAAAATCGTCCGTTTCTTCCCAGTATTATTCGTAAATGCTTAAATAATCGTTATTTTAATAAAACGCTTCACAATTTTAACTCCAAACACAAAAAAATGAAGTTTAAACCCATCTACTCGCCACGCTGAACGTATCAAACGCCATTATCGACTGTCTACAACAGAGTTTCTCAACCTCTAACGAACCGTCGCCCCCTTCAATAAAACAGTTTGTAGTATCAGCCCTTCGATTCAAAATTCCGATGCCCAGGGCAAAGGCTAACACCAAATTTGTACCGCATCGAATGGACTAGTGACTAGTGTAATGTTATTTGTTTAATTATTGTACGATATAACGAATAAAATATCTAATTATTCTTAACATAATGTTTTACTATATCGCCCAGAAAATTGTTTTTCGCCTCCAAAATATAAATTGCTACTAATCGCTCCCTTAACGTGAAAAAACGCCCACGTGGGGGCGATATCGCCCCGTTGAGAAACACTGCTCTAGAACAGGGATGGCCAACTTTTGTGTACATAAGATCTACTTTTTATCCTAAAAATGTGTCGCGATCGACTCATTATCGTAGACATAGTCTAAGTAGGGGATGGGCATTCCGCGGCCCGAGTCGCATAAAATGTGTATAAATATATCAATTTCCTAGCTTAAGAAGTACGCGACAAAAATTCAAACGTTATTTTCTACAACTTATGTGTGCGAATAGTTTTTCCCGCAATGAAAAACTTAAAGCGAGAAACCGGCTAACAGACTCGCCTCGAAACTAATTTAAAACTAGCAGTGATTAAATATCAAAAATATTTGATATTTAATCAAATATTTTTGATACATTACGTTTACATCAGTTCTATAAGCTACATTAAGTATACCTATTTTATTTTATCTATATATATAAAAATGAATGTATGGCTTTGTGTCTGTATGTCCTTCATGCATTACCATACCGTTTATCCGATTGCCACGAAGCTTTGGGAAGTTGTTTAATACACTCCCGCCAAGGTTTCTGGCATTTATCCCACGATAGATGGCGCGCGTTTACACGAGCATTCGAGCACTGTTCGATCGATTTCAAATTGTGAAGACCATTTCCCTCCTTCAAAAAATATCTCTATATAAGCATTTGTCAACTGTTATTTACGATATTTGTAATAATTTTTGTTTATTTTGTTAATATAATAATTTTTGTTTATAACACTTTATTGTGTTAGAAGCATAAATTTTTGTTTAATCACTATTTCAACTGTTTTTTGATAATTACGTATTCGCTCGAACTTCGTTAAAACCTTAACTGTATCCCGAACAACAACCGAAGTCGTAGGAAGAAATTCGCCTATTTTACCGATCTAGGTATCCCCCCTTTTTCCAAATTTTAATATCGACTCGAAATAATTTAAAAAGACAAATTACAATAAAACGGTTTATTATCCAACTCTCAGAAATTTCACAAGAGAGGAAGGAGCAATTAAATAATTAAAATTATAAAGGATTAAAATATATATATATATATGTATGGGGAATATCGCGCTTCTGACAATCGCTGCTTGTGGGCTAAATTTGGAGAATCCGTGCTTCTCGCATGGATCGCTCACGCGTCGGAAAACCTGATTTATTGGTGTACGCACCAGACGAAAAAACAAAAAATATCGTGTATCCACAAGCACTCCAATAAATAAATAGAATTGAAACGACACTTTGAAATGTTTTCCCCGTGAAAATAATACAGTAGAGCGTCGTTTATCCGAATCAATTGGGGTTGTTCGGATAACTTATTTTTCGGATAAGCAATTATGTACGAAAAAATATATTAATTTATCCCGTGTTGAAATTTTTCTCCGTTGCGTGTCGCTTCGCGTTGAATTTTCGTCGATATTAAGCCTAACGAAGACTATTGTATTAAAAATTATTTTTTTATTTTGTATCAATTATTGTTTTTATATTGAAAAATATAAAAACAATAAAAAATTATACTTCAGAAGTTAATTTAGTATCAAAAACGTAAAATATTTGAGTAGCCCAAGACATAGCCAAAGATTGCAGCGCCACAGCACTGGCGAAAATTTAAATTTGTCGACTGGAATTCCTTCGGATAAACGAGGCTCTACTGTAATAAGTTTCAATAAAATGATAAAATGTAAATTGAATTTTATCATAACGAGTTTGCTTGAATTTCCTTTCTTCTGAGATCGCAGCAATGCGCGACGGGTAAGCTAGTAATTATATATGAATAAATAATTGTGATTTACCGGCATTTCCCCCCCCCCTCTTTTATCTTGTATGTGGCCGGAATTAGTTCAAATGTTTCGAAACGCGGCCCTTACACAGCAAAAGGTTGTCTGTCCCTGGTCTAAGTGGCGAGGGAGAGGGAGGTGTGAAATACATACTAAGCTTAAAAAAGAAAAGCCACAATTTTATTTAAAACACGAAGAAAAGGTACTTAAATTTTAAAGAGAAGAAAATTTGAATTTCAACGTTGTCACTTTCGGGGACCACCGCTTCACCCTTCTTCTCTCTACCGTGTCCCGACGTACTCTCTGTTATGTTTATTGTCTCGAGGTTACAACCAAAGTGAGCGCTCAGGGACCGTTCCCGTGATGCACCAGCAACGATCGCCACCTGGCGGACTCACTAATATTTTACATTTTAACATTTTAATACAATACATATTACACTCTCTCCGTCCCTTCTTTTCTCCGGTTTTACCACCCTTTGTCTACATTTCTTATTTCCCTTTTACGACTGTACGCAAATGGATTGCGCGTGGACCGACAAAACCGCATCCGAGGGAGAACGAGGAGGTCCGATATCACTACAGTAGCGTTCGGTTACAACTTACAAGCGTAATACATCAAGTCGAGACATCGCGAGCGATCGACCAAAATTGGTTTCGCGATCGACTCGTTGGCCACCCCTGCTCTAGAACAGTGGTTTTCAACCGGGAGTATACGTGTATCCCCAGGGGTACGAGCATAAATTGAAGATTTTATAATGAATGTAACTTTCATTATAAAATGGCGTATGTTAATCAATTTGCTGCAAATTATTAACACGAGAAACGACAAAAACTTGCTTTAAAATATCCCAGTATGAACACCAATTTCCCTTTATTCGGATGACCTTGCTAAAGTTTTGGCAAGCTCGTTTATTTGCGAGTTCCGTATTTATTTACTGTCTATTACAGTATCTAGTTGTAAAGTATTAGGGATTTTTATACGACACGGGACTACTGTATGTGCCAGTAAGGCGTTTGGGAATATCGCCGAAGGTTGTTATACACGGTAAGGAAATCCTTTGAGGATTAACCGTGATTTTTTTTCTATCTATCCATTTTTAAATAAAAATAATTCTTTATACGTTGGGAGATATTTTAATAAGTTTTGTAAATTACTATGTTCGATCCATCCAGTTATATCCGAGTTTTTTTCGTCTGTTAAGCACATCCTTTGAGGATTTCCTTACCCTGTATACCAGCCTAACCTTTAACGGGTACTTTACTCGGGTTCGCCGTTAGTATGACAGGCCTGGGCTTACGCGTACTCCGGAAATAACTGTGTACAAAGGTCAGTAAGGATCTCAAATATTTAATATTAACTGAATTATTCACTATGTACAAATAGTACACTTAGTAGGAATCAAAAACAATTTATTCGATGAAAAACCCGACAAAAATAATACAATTTACTTACTATAACTTATGCACTATTTCCCCTTGGAACTCGAGAATGTCAAACAATTAGAACTTTGTGCGATGAATCTTAGAATCTTATCCGTCACCTGAATACTAGGAACCTTTTTCCCGTTATCCAACTTCCTTCGCTATTTTCAAAACTTGCTTCCAATCTCGCTCTGGTCGTGCTCGTTTTATACTCTGAGGTGACGTCACAATTATTTCTGGAACCACTCCCCTGGTTTACATACTTAACTTCTAACAATTAATTTGCGTTTCTTTTCCACGGTTTGGGCACAGTTGTTACGTAACGGAGAGAAAATGGCCATTGGTCAGACAATGATTCTGTAAGAATTTCGTGTTTTTTGGAGTCGGAGGATCTCGAAACGTCGAGATGTGCAGAAATTTCGGCGATTTTTCCCGTTTGTGGGCGGGAGACGAGATTTTCTTGGCCGAATTTAAAGCTTAATAACTGCGCGCTTTTTGTCGAAATGTTTCGAAATTTCCCGAGGAGCTTTGCGTATGGGGCATCGATGCTAATAAATCTTATCGGTTAAAGGTCGAGCGGTGGGGATGGCGGCTGATATTTCCCGTAGAGTCGAACTTAGTGACGATTTTTTTCTGTAATTTAAATTGTTAAAAAGTTCTCTTTACGTAATTTTATACGTAGCTTAGGCGGCAAAAACATATGGAAATAAACATATTTGTTTGGCGTCATTTGTATAATTGGCCGATGGAAAATAACGGAAATGTACGACATACTTTTATACCGTTGAACTTAAACTGTGTTTCGGCATGGAAAAACGTCGATATACTTATACGGGAGATGCCCGGAGGTTGTTTATTCCAACGATACTCGGTACGACGCCTCATCGGTCACTTTAACGATGACTTGGCTTAACGTTTTCGCCTTTCACTATTTTCCCAATTGTCGTTTTGTAATTTTTTCGTTAAAAGTGACTTTTTGTTTATCGTCGCCCGTAACTTTTTTCGGACATTGGCGTTTATACGAAAGGTCTATCATTCGAATATGTTTACGCGGGAGCGGATGTAGGTTTTCCGGGGCCTAGGGCTTATCCCAGTCCTACGGGGCCCCATTTTTTGTTAATGCAGATAATACCGTAAATTATCACGATTATTATATTATTAATACCAACTATTTTTTACTATACGGTAATTAGTCGTTGTTAACGAAAAAGTATTAAAAATTTACGATAACCATGGAATATTTGCGGGCCCCGGAAATTTAGGGCCCGGGGCTTAAGCCCTATCAGTCCCTACGTAGATCCGTCTTGCCTTTACGCCATATTTTTGTTTGGCGAGAAAGTAGGGGCGGTGGGTGGCGTTATAGTCGAAGCCGAAGGTTCTGCTAATAATTCTAATGTAAAATATAGAAATAGACGCCTCTCCCACACGGTTGGGGCGAGTTGCCTACCCGATTTAAAGGAAAGACGCGTACTTTTTCCGAAATATTATATTACAAACTTAATTAAATTTATTACATTTAGACGCTTACGTAATATAGAATGAAGGAAACCCATGCCGATAGAAGAAAATAGACCGAACGGGACTTACTGGTTAGTTCTTCCAGCCCGAACGGTCGAAATTACTACGAAGCGAACAAAGAGTTCGATATTGGAAATAGTATTTTTGGGCGGATTTAAAGACAGTAATTTAGCAAAGCTCTGGGATCAAATTCGACGCTAATGTACTGTACATACGCAAAACGAAAGATAAAATTGTTTATCGTACGATTAAGTTACAACACGGAGACACGTAAAGAAGATGGGATTGGACGCGCCACCAACGGTACAAACGACGGGCGAGAATACCGCGGAGTAGAACGAGTACGGGAAGCGCAAAATGTGGGTTAAATTAAACGTTAGACGACGAGACGATGCCTCGACTTTTACCAAAAGACGGCACTGGCAATTCATTTCTTCCGAAATCCGAATTAAGCCGCTCACCCGCGTAGATAAGCGCGGCTTCGCTCCGTAAGTAATTTTTCGTTTTTAGTCGAATGCTCCTCGGGCGTAAGAAGGGCGTCGCATTCACGGCGGCATTTTTACCCTTTCTTTATCCTTCGGCGGCGCAATTTTCCACTCTTTTTCCGTCTTCCAACCAACTCCGGCCCGTCCATTTATCCTAAGGGATTCTTCTTTTTTTCCCACTTCGGATACGAAGACACCGTTATCTTTGGCGCTGGCTTATTGTTCTTCCCGCTTGCCGGCACTAACAATAGCTATTTCCAGTAAAAATTATTATAGTTTTTTTATTTATTGGTGCGAAAATGCGAAAAAGAAAAGAAATTGCTGGTCGCGGATCTTTATAAAGAAATATAAATATCTAAAAGACGAAAAAACTGTCGTCGACGCGTTTCTTACAAGAAATAACATTCGTTTTGGGAGAAACTTCACCTTTTCTTTTAATCGATTTTGGACGTTAAATTAAAAACGCCGAGCGAATTTCCTTTCTTACGTCCTAATACTTGCCGCCGCTTAACTGTTTAGCCACGCGTTAAGTCCAGAGGTCGGCTTCCCCTCCGTCCTCGCCCGGCACGCGCTATCCATAGGCGTAAATAAACAGAAATTTTCCGGTACGCGGCGGCGGCCACCAGGATCCACCAATTATAATCCATCTTTTTAAAAAATTGGCGCAAAGGCCGAGCCATCGGACCTGGCGAAATTCCAGACATTTTAGCCTTTCCGCCTATTTTTTATCAATATAATTTTATCGGCTGACAGATTCCGGAAGGACGCGTAGGGTAGACCGGCTAAAGGCGCGTAAACTACATTTTAACGCCAATAAAGCTAATCGCCGGCCTTAAATAATAACTTATTTAAGGCCGGGAGAACGGCCGGCGGTTACGGTTATCGCGGTCCGAGATCCCCAATCCCCGTTTTTTCGCGCTTCCCGACCCCCGGGTCCAGCCACGGACCACTTTTAAATACCGTAACAACGCCGAGGAACGGAGTTTGGAATAATTTTAACACGGGCAGCGCGTCCAGTAAGTCGGACGGGGGCGAAAGGAGCGGGCGATTCCGCCATTTTACTTTTTCGTCTCTTACGTATAAACGGGAGGAAAGTACGGAGGAAAGCCACTCCCGAGAATCTTCACTATTTCCCACCGAATGGCGTTCGGACGTCTTTTTCTTCGCCCCCTTCCCGCGCCATAACTCTTCGTCTTTCGTCGAAATTTTGCCCAGAGGCGGGGGTATTACGGGATCGACGCTATTGAATTTCGGTAGATAATGGCCAAGGAGCCAGAACGCCCGATATCCGGAGCAGTCCGGATAATTTAAAATGTTTTTACGTTATCGGTAACGTAAAGACTTTTTAAAATAAAATTCCGTAACCGCGAGTTAAACTTTTTCCCGGGGAAGTTAGATGGATTTTTTAAAGGGAAAATAGTCTGCGCCGGTTTTTCCCGCTTTCCTCCGTCCGCCCGCCGAAAGGGACGGAGACGACGTCGAAGGGTAAGAAGTTGTCGCGCCGTTTCCAACCAAACCCGTCTTTTTAGGAGGGAAAGAACCATTAACCCCGCTCTTGGTTAACGAAGAAAAGTTTCACCCTCCGGCGGCGCTTCCGGTCTTGGATGGGGCTTACGAAAATACCCGGGAGAGAGGCGTGGAAGGAGACGTTGCCTAACCGTCAAAGGCGGTCGACTCGGGCCGTCCGCTAATTTCTTCTTAATTCCATGTCGGTCACCGGGTTAGATCTCGTCATTGGCACACTTTTCGCTTTTTAAGCGTCCTTACCGGGATAGGTTTAATCGCCGTTTTTCGGGCCGCGCGGAAAGAAAGGCCCGTCCGGATAACCAAGCGCCAGTTTTCCTTTCGATTATTAATTAGACTTACGAACCGGTGGCCGTAACGCGGTCCGGCCGTACAATTACGCAAATATTCCGCAACCGGAGAAGACGGTTAAGCAATTTGGGATTTTTCCCAACTCCGTCGTAAAATGACGCGGATTTCGTCTCAGTTTCTAGCAAATTAATCGGTTGTCGTTTCGTAAGCAGACCCGAATTCCAAACTTTTCCGGTTAATTGTATTTATCGCCCGAGATAACGATTGCATTTTCTACTGGATTCTCGGACGACCGAACAAATTTCATACCCGTTTACTTTTTTCTATTACTTTAACTTTCGCTATTTGTCCGCTAAACCTTCTACTCAAACCACGAAACCGGTCGAAATTCTTCCGTGTCCGACGGCATCGTTTCATAAGCATCGAATAAGTCGGGCCCGGTAAATAACGTGTAAATAGTCTACGTCTACGTACAGTACGACGGTGTAATTGTCCGCCCCAAGACGTCGGCCGACACTCTACATTTTTATAATGTAAACTGGCGAGACGACCATCGATTGCCCTTAACTAAGTAAACCCGCCACCGTCAAAAACGCTCGGACTACCTTTCTTCTTCCCGACTTTCCCGGGAGTCGAACGACGGACGAAACGTCCCGCTGCTAAATAAACTTCCGAGGTCGGAGTCGGCTTTCCACCACCCGGCCGCAGGCACGCGTCGTCCCACCACCCATTAACCGGAACCGCCCGCCCCGCCGGAAGTCGACCGATTCGGGCTTTAAATTAAAAGTCCCGAGAAGTAAATTTCTTTCTCCCCTCCCGGAAAAGTCTCCCGGCATTTTTTCCGCCGTTTTCCTTTCCCACGGACAAATATCCGGTCCCGGCCAAACGGAAGTGGAAAGGCTTTCCGGAGAAGGCGGGAGGAGCCGGACTCGCCCGGTAGGAAGGAAGATGTCGCACCGGAAGTCTTTCGACCGCCACCTCGCCGGGGCCCTTCCGTCGGTTTGTCCCGGGCAGCCACCCCAACGCAAATTCGCCCTTCCCTCACTCACCCCGGCGGGGGAACCGCTCTTCCCCCTCTCCTCGGACCGCGCCGACTTCCGTCGGCCGCCCGCAGTGCAAGAGCGCGGCCGCGGAGGGGAGGGAAGAGAGGGGAAAACCGAAACCGGGTTTGTGTGTCGACCGGCGAAGCGTTACGAAAGAAGCTCCTTCGGATTTACTCGCTTTCCGTCGACCTCGGTCCCTTTCCCTTTTCTTTATCGGTCGCCGGCGGCGCTCCGGCCGACGGTTTTTTCCCCCGGTCCGAGCCGGGGTGGCGCTGCGACTCGGTCGGCCGCGCGGCGCTCATTCTTATTCCCGTCGCGCCGCCCATCGCACCGCCGGCTTTCCATGGCGCAGTTACTGCGAGTGTCTCGTCCGGGGGACCCGGATCGCCTCGCCCCCCGCGGTTCCGAAGAAGCTTTCGATCTGTCCTGGTGCCGACTGGGAGTGACTCTGACTCGGGGAATCTTCTCCAAGACAGGTGAGTGCCGCTTCTTAGTCCGCTCGGCCGGGCCGCGCGCGGAGTTGGGCCTTTTCCCGCGGGGGAAGGGACGCCCGGCTCCCGGGCCTTGGGTTTTCCCCGCGGAGCCGGAGAAGCGCGGGAGGGTTTCCTTTTTGTGTCCATTCGTGTTGCCTCCATTCGGAAAGACGGAAGGCGGGCGCCGTCCTCCGCTCCCGCCGCGCGGCGGACGGCTTTCGGACGGCCGAAACGGAAAATTCTCAAGGTCGATCCCTCCGGCCCGAGGATCGGCGCGGATCCCGACGGCCGCCGTTTCTGGCGACGAAGACGTCCGAAAGTTTCCGGCCGGGGAAAGGAGCTGAGAGGCGCGGTCCGACAATTTTCTTTTGCCCGTGGAGCCGGGGCTTGGCCGGTGCATAAGCCGCCGAGAAGAGGCGTAGAATCCGGATTCCCGGGTGGACGACGTCGTTCCGGTCGAGGGGACCGGAGGGCCGGGGGCAAAGACCGAGGGGCGCCGTTAAATTCTACCGGGCGAAAAGAAGAGAAACGGAAGGACGAACCATGGGGTTAGAAAGGTCTTCCGGCCTTTAACGGCGACTGGCCCGGAGAAAAGCCTTACGAAATCGGGAGGAAGCGGGAAGACGTCGGGCCTTCCGCTGCCCGGCTCTTAATAATCCCGGTCCGAAATTATGGACTTTTTAACATTGTTTCGGAAAGGCGCGAGTTAGTCGCGGCTGGCCGCCCGGAACGACGGCTGTTAAGTCACCGGGTGGGAGAAAGCGCGCGCGCATTTTTAGCCAGGCCCAAAAGGCGGACGAATTTCCTCTTTCTCTTTCCCCCAACTCGGCGGTGGGGCCCGCGGCCTTACGTCGGTCCACTGCCGTTGCCGGGCGGCCGCCCGCGGCCTTTCGTAGTATTCGTAGCCGCAACTACTCGAACTACTCGGTTTGGCATTTAAAAAATGTTAACTGTTCCGACGTAATGAAACGTGACGACGAAAACAGTTTTCTCGACGGAAGTCGCTACGCCTGTGGACCGACAAAACGCGGGAAAGGTCATCTGGTCCTTTGGGGCGGCGGAACGACCTCGACCTAACAGTTACCGGGAGAACCCGGGAGGTGGTCTTGACGGAGACCCAATATTCGAGTATTTTCCAGAAAATCACCATGAACATTAATGTATGGGTTCCATCCGTACATTTATAACTTAATCTTATTGTCATGAATTAAATTTATGTAGTTTTTAAAGTCACGAAAAGTTTATTTATTTTTATTTTGATCAGTTCGTATTTAGAAAAACTCATTATAATCACATTTTGTATCGTTTAACGCGGCGGTTGCTGGCAGGGGCGCCGCGAAATGTCCTAAAATGTTAGAATTTGACATTGGGAGCCATGGGAAAATCTGCATTTAGCCGTGAAAAGAGTTTCGATATTTATATTACATTTCGTACGTAAGGACAGGAAGATATTCACCATCGGTACTCTTTCCCACAATATATTAGTAGGTAGGTGGCCCTAATCTAATGGGAAAGAAAACTAGACGAAGGGTCGAGCGGGTCCCTTTGACGTAGAAAGGAAAGAGACAAAGTCGACAGCTAGGATTTACTCTTTACGTTGGCCGGTGACCCCAATGAAGAACGGTATAAATAAGTGCATTAAGCGTGTCGGTTTTTGCTTAAACTGTATTTGGTTTGTGTGATACGGATATATTCGTTTGGCTGTGGTGTGGCCGGGGACCCTTCCCACGGGAACCGGTTGTGGAAACTGAGACGATAAGCCGGCGACTTGGTAAACAGAACCCAGGCCGCCGAGAAATTGGAGCGATACTGTTTAATTGTCGCTTTTCCAGATCTAATTGACACATCCCCGATGGTAGATGGCGAGGGAGAGCGGGAGATCGACGGCTGCAGAAGTTTCGGCGGTCACCTTACACAGAGTTCGAGGCGGAAAATGCCAGCGCTCCTTCGGAGGGACCGATGGTACGAACGTCTTCTCCGGGACGGGAGAAAAACGCATTGGAGGAAATTTACGGGTCAGTGGCTGGGGGAAGAGCGTGACCCGACCCCGGGGGCGTTCCGCGCGGGAGTGATGGACAATCCCGCGGTCCGAAACGCGTCCCTATCGACAGCTCGGGGACAAATAGAGTTAGGAATCCCAAGGACGCGGAGAAGTTGGGAGTGATTTAGCCCGCCCTGGCAATCCAGACCGGGATGACGGAGGAGAAGATCCCGAAACTTGGACGAATGCGGACAGATAGGGGGACTTAACTTCCCCAAGCACACTTTTTTACCCGGACAGGACGAAGGAGAACCTAACTTCCAGGCGTAGACTCGTACCTCTACAGCAGGCGCGTCAAAGATACGGCCGCGGGCCGTATCTTTGACACGTAGGGCAGTTATGACCCGCGAGACAATTAGTTGCGACCTTCCACATCAATTCAATAATGCTATTTCTTTATGTTTTTATTATCTCGATATCAAAGAAAATGTGATATTTTGTACTTAAACAAATAATACTTAATAAAGAAAATTGTTGAACTCAATTATTATTATAGGCTTATAGGAAAGCAGTGCTGAATGTCCGACGTACACGTTTTCGCATTTAAAACTTCGGCCTCAACTTCGCTAGTACCATTCAAATCAATCAGTGCCTTATTTGCTATTTCTTCAATAATCTTTGTTCTGCCATTAAAGTTACCGCTTGTAAAGTACAAATAAGGTTTTTTTTTTATTTTATTGTGAAATCTCGGGTTTTTGAAAAGGAACTTTCGAGTCCGCTGCTTTTGGGCTACTTTTAAAACATTTCTGGCTACAAAAACTAAAAGCATCTGTCCCGCTGTCATACTTCAGACAAAAAATTGGCACTTAAACACTATGAGTTTGACACCCCCGCCCTACAGCCTCCAAAAACGTCTTACCATTGGAGTCATCTCTGTGTCCAGCAACCGCTTCCCCAAACCACTCTGGCGTCGTCCCGACCGAGTGTCGGAAAAAGCCAGGGTTTCCGCGCCTCCCACCTAAGGCAGATCGAAGTCGGCCACGATTCCTTATACCATCTCCTTAAAACCCATAGAGAAATAGCCGATGGCCAAGATGCTATTAAAATACACTGTCTCGTTCTCGACCGGTTGGCTGCACCAGTTTTGTGTCACGTGTTGAAATACGCATTGTTCGCGTCCGAAATAGCGGGCCAAAGAAATATTTTGAAAAACGTTAACCGAGTTTCTTACCGAGTTAACCGCATAAAGCGGCGATGATTATTTGTGCGCCGATTTAACTGTTTTTATCCTAAATACAGTAGACCCCCTATAAAACGAGTTCATGTAGTTCGGATTCCTATATGACGGCAAAAAATTGCCACCGTATTCGTATAAACGCGCTAAAAACACTCGTATAATTTTGTAAAACGTCATCGCCGACTCGTGTGGCGACAAGATCGGTCGAATCTAGATCAATAGCGGATATCGCGCAAACCGTTGACTTTAAACGAGCACTGAACCTACTAAAAACCATTTATTACTTAACGGTCATAAAAATTATAATTATATTAACGATGTCTCCAAAGTTCAGCAAATTTTTCGCCGAGAAATAATTTATCAGGAAACGCGCGCCTCCGTTCCATCGCCGCTCCGCGACGAAAACGAACTTAAGCAATGGCGTGGTCGAACGGTACGCACTCGGTAAGTAATCCTATCATTTTTTGTATAATTTTTTGTTTATAGCAGTTTATACGGATTATTCGCAAAAAATTATACGTGTTTTGGAAATGTTGAGTGGAATTAGTCTAGGAATCGATTAATTTTATGGAAGAAAACCTTTCAAACAGCCGTAGTCCGTAAACTGCACACGTGCCGGGCTGCGATTGGCTCGTGTATTTAAGGACTCGTAGGAAATGAGCTTCATAAAAACCGGAACTTATTTACCGCGTTATGGGGGGTCGACTGTACCAGCAANCGTGTTGATTTTAAAATTAGCTATTTTTCGTCTATAAAATTTAATCTATGAATTTTTTTGGTAGTAAAATGGACTTGCCATTGATCTTTCGCTGATAATTGATGCTTTTTAACAGAATCTCAAGTAAGGATGCACCGATAAGCAAAATGGCCGATTACCGATTACCGATTAATCGGCCATGCATTATCGGCCGATTACTGTTAATAATTTATTGTATTAATAGTGTGAGATCCTGGAGTTAATTATAATGTGGAAAAAAACCCATTTTTCTCCACCTGGTATTTCCATCTCCCTCGGGTCAGGTAAACAAGAGACGATCGAATATCCTCGCAAAATCAACAATCTCTTCCTTTGTTTCTAAAATAAATCTCAACANATTAATAGTGTGAGATCCTGGAGTTAATTATAATGTGGAAAAAAACCCATTTTTCTCCACCTGGTATTTCCATCTCCCTCGGGTCAGGTAAACAAGAGACGATCGAATATCCTCGCAAAATCAACAATCTCTTCCTTTGTTTCTAAAATAAATCTCAACACTTAATCGTTGACGCGTGGAAACTTCAACATTGTTTAAAAAGCTGAAGTGTTTCTGTGTTTAACAGAAACAAAATATATTTCTTTAACCGCTGATATTTGGACAGCAACTACAAACAATTCTCCTTTTTTAAGTGTANCTTTGGTCCCATACCTGTTGGATTATCAAGGGACAACTGTATAATCTCACCAAAGTATAAAAAGAAGAGACAGAAACCAGTATTATTCCAGGTTTATTTCTAAGATGAATATAAATATTTAATGCTTTCCACCCAACCCGCCATTTTCTTTTCCGTTTCCGTTTAACGCCTGGAGGCGCCGGGAAATCTTATCCAGTCGTTACCAGGCGGCGAGACCGTCCCGGACCGTCCGTAGTGGCCGGCTTTTAATTTCCCATCCGCCGACACCGGCGCGGCCCGGTGCCTTCCTCGCCGGCCAACGGACTAGCGTCGGTCGGCGCCTGCGCCAATGAAATCAGTCGGCGGAAAATACTTTCCTCCCTTCCGTCTCCGTCGTCCCTCTTTAACGCTTTCCGCAGTTTCTTTCCATAAAAGCTGCGATCGAGAAGCAGAGAAGGGGAAAAGGAGCGCGGAGACCGTCCCCTCTCTTTTCCCGCACGGAAAAGAACGGGGGGGGAGGAAAGTCCGGAGGGTAAGTATTTCGGTCTTGACCCGGTCCGTTTTCTCCGCAGAAACAAGTACCGAGGAAGCGTTCTGGTCAACGACAAGCGCGTATCGGCCCACTTCTACCGCCAGAAGTCGTGCTACGTGCCTCAGGAGATCTTTCTCTTTCCCCACCTGTCGGTCCGAGAGACGCTGACTGTGGCCGCCAACCTCAAGTTGCCCGCCTCCGTCTCCCCGGCGGAAAAGAAGCGCAGGGTAAGTCTTTTCTTTCTTTTCGTCCTTCCTCGAAAAGGAAACTTCCGGTAATCCGGCACCCGATTAACCGTTAAATAATCATCGTAGGGCGGAAAATCCACCCACCCACCGCGGTTCCGGCGCTGCCTCCGTCCGCCGTTGGCTCCCGGAGGGGGTGGAAGTAGCTGGGTCCTCCAACGCTATCCAGGAGGATGCGCACGCGCGGCGCCACGAGGAAAAGCGGTGTGGCCAACGCGTTGAGTATTCGAGATGGCGGACGATACCCACGGTGCCGCTATGCAGGCGTTTACAGATTTTGTTTTGTACGGCCGGCTTTATTTAGCTCGATGGAGAAAGAACTGGCGTACAAAATACGATTAAGATCTGTCGATAAAGAATACTATTTCCAGTAAGATTCGGTTGTTTCGTTCTTCGAATTGAATTACGGTATATATGATTATTTCTGTTAAATTTATTATCCTTTCCTCTTTATTCTAATGTTATCTCGGTTAACCGCCTCCAACTATCCGCCATTAAAACGCCTTGCGACTACAAGACGCGTTTCTACCAGAATTCGACCAACTTCCGCGGCGAGAAGAAATGAACCCGGTCGGTAACGAAAGCGACGAAGGAATACGAAAGGAAGAAAGGGTGGGCCCGGCCTCGGCATTCCTAAGGTCGAGTTCGTCCCGGCATTACGACTTTTTTATTTATCGTTTAATTCCTTCCTTTTATTTCTAGAAAAAAATACAAAATACATTTTCTTTGAGAAAATGGAAGAAAATCCTCCGCGCCAGGGGTTTTATTTTCAAAATGAAAAACGAAAACATACCGACACGCGGCAACGGAAATTTTCGACTTTTTAAAGTTAGACCAATAGGAAGGTGGTGACGTCGTAAAGATGACGTGGGACGATAGCGGTGGGCCAGGCTAAAAAGCTTTATTTATATACTAATTGGCTGATATATTTCATTCGTACGCTATATTACTATCAGATTCTAATATTAACGTCGAATAGACGTAAAGTATTGGGAATTCGGTTACTAAAGTACAGGACAGGGATGGCCAACCTTTTCGAGTCTGCGTGCCACGTAGTAAGCGTATTAAGCATATTTTTTTTTAAAAATGATTACGCGTGCAGAAGTTTTACACTCGGAGTAACTATATTTAAATTTGGCCGAAGGGCCGAGCGGTCAAAGCGGTAGCTTATCGCTCTGGCGTACCCGAGATCAAAAGTCCAGAAAATTTTCGGGTGATCCATTGCTCGCCACCCGGCTGTTCCATTTGGAGTTTGCTAAATAAAAAAAGCCCTCTTAGTGTCCAAGGGGCGAAAAGAGTTTTAAAAAACTATATTTAAATAAATAATATACTGTAATTAGAGTAAATGTAAAGAACCCGATTGAAAAACATAATAAACCGATATCGTATAATACGTTACGTGCCGGATGATTTCTTCGACGCGCCACTTTGGGCACGCGTGTCGTAGGTTGGCCATCTCTGGTATAGGATATTCCTAACGTTCAACCATTCGGAATATTTTTCCATGGAAAATCCTGGTTTTTCAGCTTTTTTATTTGCCAACGAAACAATCCCGACTACTGGCGCGATATTAATAGGGTCCGCGCCGGAAAAGATTTGCGTCTAGAGACGAATCTCCCTATTTCTGGTAACGAACTAAGCTAACTTCCGAAACCCGGGCATTAATAATAGTGGAAGAACATTGAACGGTAAGACTCGAACCGCCGCGATAATAAACGGAAAGAATAATCATCGGGGCAGAAAAAGACTTCCCGCTCCACTTTGCGTCTTAAAATCGTGACATTTGACCCAACGTTAGAACGTGTTTCGGCACTGTCGATAGGAAGCGCGGCGTCCGAGTTTTCTCGCCGGGTTCACGGGAATAACGAGAAAAATTCAGGCTTTTTCGGGTATCTCTCGTCCGAAGAAATGATATCTTACGCGGGGCTTAATTTACACCTTGGCGGGCCCTAGGAAAAATAATATTTACAAATTTTGTATTACTACAAATATGAATAAAATCGTAATATTTAAAATTAAAGTATTTTTATTTCAAAACAATTACAAGGGTAAAATAATCAATATATTAATACAAAAAATAACGATTCGTGCATAAAAAAGTAGAAAAAATAAATCATTTGTGAATTTCGATTGCGCAAAAATATTAATCTAACTCGGATTATCGATAGTGCGGAGAATTTATCTTCTTTTATCGACTTTCTCAAATAACTTTTAATGTAGAGAAAGATTTTTCACCACTCGCATTACTTATCCGCGCGGTAAAATATATTCTTAGAAGAATTTGCATATTGGAAAAGGTTGATATCGTATTATTATTTATAATAAAATAAAACATTTCTCGGCCATTCTTTTCTTTTAAAATAGCATTAAACTGAAGCCATTCCTCACAAATCTCACCAATGTAAATATCCGCTTTATACGTCTTATTTACAGTATTATCTTCACTACGCGCGTCTGTTTCAGTAAATAAAAATTCAAAATGCTGTTTTTCTTCTAATCGACTGGTTGACATAAAAAGTATTTATTTTAAAATTATCCTTGGCAGAAAATTGAATATCATCGTCAATTATCATCAAAATGACGTTTTCGTTTACGGCAATCGAATAAATGGCATGCGTAAAATTGCCATATAATTCTTTAGCTCGTTCTTCCATACAATCAAAATGGCTTCTTAATTCCTCGACAAATCCTATAAGACTTTCGTATAAAGTGCGCGCTACATTTAAATTACGTTATTTCTTGTAATATATTTCTTGTAATTCTTGTATTTCTTGTAATTTCTGTACATTTAAATTAAGTTATTTCTTGCAACGATTTACTCGTTGCATTAATCCCGTTTAATATTTTGTTCCACGACACAGTCATTAAGCAAAATTCAAAACTTTTCGTATTATAGTATAAACCTAGTATAAACCTCTCGTTTCTCTTCCGGTTAATCTTTTCCGAGGCACGTCTTCTTCTAATTTTTCCAGCGCCCATTTAATTTCATCGAATCCATCGATAACGACTGTAATAGCATCCGCTCTTGCCGACCGTCTAGTGCCACTAATAGGTTTAATAGTAAGCGGTTTATTGTTCTCTTGGAAAAGATTTTTTAATATGTCGACGCGGGAGAAAAAGTGTAAATATTTTGAATAGTACCGAAATATCAAACTGCTAATGGGCAACGATCCGCGGCAAAATTACCCACAAGATATAAAGAATGACTGCCGCGTGGAACGTAATGAGCGCTTTCGCCATTATTATTTTTATTTTTGCTCCAAGACCATTGTATTTGCCAGATAAATTCGACGCGTTATCGTAGCTTTGGCCTCTACAAATTTTTATATCGACTATCCAAATAACTTACTACCGATTCCTCTAAACAGTCGGCGGTGCGCGAAAAATAGGAATAAAACTTAAAAATCGCTCGACGGGCTACCATTTGCCGAAATATATTTAACTATTATTGTCATCTCATCGACGTGACTTACGCCAGGCGATGAATCTAATATTAAAGACTAATATTTTGCTTCTTTTAGTTCGTCTAAAATAGTGATGCTTAATTTCTCTGCCACAATTTTAACAAATTCGTCACAGATTATTGGGGACAAATAGTTGACGCGCCCGGAACCGGGGTTTTTATTTATTTCAAATGGCTGGCTGAGAAAGGATCGAACTCACTAAGGTACCGTAGCGCGCTTAAATAGTTTCCATTATTCGACTCAAATAATTTAGTCGTTGAGCCATAAAATGCCAAGCCATTTTTAGACAAAATAGTATCGTCGAGACGATCCGTTTTAATACTTCTCTCCAATACAGTTTTTCCGTATTCCATCGGTTGTTGATTTCTACATCAATTCGACCCTTCGAATTTGATTTAGCAATAAACGTACCTATACGAGTTCTATGGTCAATCGAATTTTCCTGACCTTTTAACTTACCGCGTACGTTTTTCCAATTGTCAAAACCCCGCTTTTGTGAAAATTGTGCATTTTTGTTAGAAAACAATTTACATACGTAGCAATATGCAGACTTATTTTTTTCTGTTGAAAATAAGCCATTCTCTATTAACAATTTTTCCATTACCCTTTACTTTCATAAATGCTGTTTTACGCCAGGATCTTGTAATGGTTTTGCCTCGTACTCGAAACCTTTTTTGCTTCGTGTATAAATTCAATATTCCGATGAGATTTCTTTCTAATGTAAATATTTTTCATCTCCGGCGTTAAAACTTTTGGCCATTGGCCAATATCCTTTGAAAATGATTCGTATGTTTCACATAACAATTGTTGGCCGCCATCGTTATTTTCTTGGGTTTTCAAAAAATTTTCAATTTCTTCAACGGTATCTTCTTCATTTTGTTGTTTTGAGATTTTTCTGTTCCTCAATTTTAACGTCCGTTTCTTGATTTTGTGTTTTTTTTAAATAAAAATGGCATTAAAGCGTTACATTGCGTTTTGTTTTCTTCGTCTTTTGCTTTCGTTTTTAATTTTTTTGATGACTACTCGCGTGCTTGTAATTACTCATTTTTTATCATAATATCTCAAACTATTAGTGACATCAAAAAGTTATAAACGCAGAAATGTAGCCCTTTGAAAACTGACTAAAATGCAGCAATAAACGTAAAAGCGACATAAGTCGAGTTAAACCAGTTTTCGCACGACATACAGATATAAAGATAAATATTAAAATTACTTACTTATAGTATATGTTAAACAGAAACACGCAAAACGTGTACTTGAAAGAAAGAAAAACTATAACTGCAAAAATAGGTTATAATATATGCAATCCACCTAGTCAAACTCGGGGCCCCGACACAAAAATTACCTACGGAATGATGCCGAAGTTTCGCTAGTGCCATCCGATGGCATCTCCCAACTACTTAACAATGAAAAACTACTTAACAATATAATTCGTTCTACAGAAATGTTAATTTACTCGTAATGCGTATTTTTATTTTTACATTTGAATATTTACATTGTATTTTGAGGGCTACAAAT